GGAATGCCTCTGTTTCCTTTGCAAGGGAGCAGAAGTATAAACGTGGAGTATTTATTCTGTTTTTCTTTTGTCAGCTGGAAGAGACTGAGCTGCTGCTACCAGCTCCAGTGAACACTCATAGAAGAGCACTGCATTTCCATGAAGTTTGAGTAACTGAACTAAAGCAGCTCTTCCAGAATGGCATTTTGTACTCAGAAGAGCATTGAAAAATGAAGGATCTACTGTATTTATTCATAGTTTGTTCCAGTGATTAAGCAGCCATACTTTTACAAATGTCATCTTGTTTTAAATTTCAGTTTGTCTGACTTCTATTTCCATCTATGCTTTTTGCCTTTCTCTGTTAGACTGAAGTGCCCTTTTTTTCCTGTCTTCTCCCTGAGGATGTTCTGACACATCACAACCATGTTTTCTATCAGGTTTCATTAAACTAACACAGGGGGATTTTTAAAGCTTAACTAGCAGCGTTAGCCCTCAATAATTCATTTTTCAGCACTCAGTTTTTCCCTTTCCTTTCAAAATTGTGAGTCGTATATCATGAGTGTCATTCTCACCAATGGTGAGAATAAAAGCTAAGATCAGTGTTATGCTCATCTCTGTTCATATGTATTCAAAGATCCCATGGAAGCAGAAGATGAGTTTTTCACTGGGATTTCCTGTGTCGTTGCTTTCCAGGGAATGAGGTGTTGCTTTTGTCCTCTGCACTAGATGTAAAAACTCAACACTGTGCTGACTTTGTACACGGGCAGTGGATGGGAGCCAGCCAACAGAAGAGGCCAGGTTGTTCTGCCCTTGTCAGTATTCACCCACAGGCTCTCAGCCACAGATGTTATCAGCAGCAACTTGATATTTTACCTCAGGATCAATGATTGAAAGAATTGATAACCTCTACCCTACTATCTCCAACAAACAGAAATCAGCAGGAATTTCTTAGAGGGGTATTTTTTATGACCTACTACTAAATCACTTCACTAGTTACAAAGTAAGCATAAAGAACATTTTTAAGAGTAATACTGTTCAGTTGGAAGGCACCATGATAAATGTGAAATACACTAAAGCGAGATTAGGCCTTTTCTCATTCCAAACAGAATGCTGATTAACTTATTCATTACACTAAGGTGGTAAAGTATAAATTATTTATGAGGAAAGGAATTTATTTTTCCTCATTTTGGGCTCCAGTCATTACGAATTGGACTCTGCAGCCACAACCATTTCTTTTAGAAACTAAATAGCTGAGAAAAACAGGCCAAGTAGAACAATTCTGATTTCAATTGCAAATGTTTAGAAATTTAAAGGAAGTCAGCAGGTAAAATCATTGGACATTTTTCATCGCTCCAGTGAAAACTCAATCATCACTAAGTAAGTTAAAGCCAAATTATCAAGGTGCCACAAACACTGCAATTAAACATATTCTATTATGTGAAAGGAAAGAGGACATGGGCCAGGTAGTGCAGAGCTGTCACCCAAGAGAGACACAGCTCTGTCACCTCCAGAGAGAAGAACTGAGAAGCAGCAATAATTTTTTAATAGCACTGATGGACTCCTACTGGATTTAAACGGACTTCAGCCATAGTTCCTCTCCAAGTGATAAAGATCTGTACTGAAACATTAGGGCAGTAAACAAGAATGAAGAACAATGAGAAAAAAAAGTAGAAAAAAAGAACCCCACATAATTGAAAAACCTATAGTGGCAAAATGATAAGGTCCTATCTAAGATGTAAGTTTGACATCTCAGCAGAGTTTCTTGGTGGTGATACTGTTTTATAACATTTTTTGACTGGACTACGTCAATGTGGAGAAATACTCATAGGGAAATAATTATCAAACAAATTAGAATCTAACCAGTTTCAGTTAATTGTGTATTTCAGACCCCTCAGGGCCTGACTAAGGGAAAGGCTAAGCTTTTTTCTATTGGTCTTTCATTGACAACAGCAGGACTATTCAATTCTCTGTCACAAAGAATTTGGATTAGTGTGCATCAGAACTATACCAATTTGCTCTAACTGTTATCTGATGATTATTTCAATGTCAATTTACAAACATTTTATTTTTTACAGGCTTGTCTACAGAAAGATCAAGCTAAATCAGCTACTAGAATGTATGTATAGGGCTCCCATCTGAAAGAAGTATATAACCACAGCCGAGGTAATTCACATGAATCCTAAATTGTCACTTCTTGGCTATCTTGTTCTGGGTGTTGTTTGTCTTTGTAAGGAATGGATGCATTTCATGACATTGAAAATGCTGAAACTTTGCAGAAAAAGTAGTTAACGCATCTATCTGTCTGCATATGCAATAGGTATGGAACCTTTAATAGCGCAGGTCACCTTATTATTGTGTGAAAAAAACCTCAACAGGACAATAATGTTCTGGCTGAATCCTGAATGTTACCAATTGTTTTCAATACTCAACCAGATGAGTAGAAACCGAGACTGTGCAGAGAAGTTTGCAATACAAAGCCACCAGGTGCATCTGAGAATAAAACAAAAGTAAGAGGCCACTAAGGGACCTATTTATTCCTCAGTAAACCTTCTCCTACTGCTGATATCACCCCAAGTCTAACTTCATTCTTGGAAGATCCACCAACATACCTCTGACCAGTCCGCTCCAGTGTAATTTGGACCTGCACATGGTATCAAACATGCTTTTGCTTAGCTACTGAATGGAGGCTGCACTGGTGAGGTTAGCAGCACTCACTGCAGGAACATGCTGCGTGGGGCTGTTTATGTCAGAGAGAAGCCAGTGTTAGCCTGAGAGGGGAGCCACTGGTGTGCGTCTGGTGGGCAGTCACTCTCCTCTTCCTTCTGGGTCTCCAAATGCTCTTGCATTTTAAGCCAGTCTGGGCAGAACTTTATAATATTTTTGGAAGCATGTGAAAGAGCTGTTTGTTGAGCCTTTAACATCAGATTGGTCAGCTCAACTTTATGAAACTTTATACAGTGTTCAGTCTTTACTCTGTGCCAAGCATGAGCTGCCTACAGCGGAGAACTACACCACAGTTACAGCAACTGCACTTCAACTGTCACGTTCTAGATGGAATCTCAAACGTTTACTAATCAGACAACAAGCCCTCCACAGTTCAGTGTATGAATACCTTAAGTCTGGCCCTCTCCCACCAGTGAGGGAAATCCGGTGGACGCTCTGGAGCAAGGTATTGTGTGCCCATGACACACTGCAGGCATTCATCAAGCAAAGACTTTTAAAGTCACATGCAAAATATCAGAGAGCATCAGCAGACTTCTAAGAATAAAAGAGTAAGAACATGAAAGATATTTTACAGCTTTGCCATATACTAACCATACACTAGGCTAGTGTATATTCTGCTAGGCTGGGTGAAGAAACATTCTGCACTCCCATCAGTTACTAGCGTTGGGTAAATCAAGTCTAGGATGAAAAGCTCAGAATAAATATACGCAATTCAAATAAAACATACTCATTGCAAATGAAATTGCAATAAAACATTGAATTGACATGCTCAATTCAAATAAAACTTTTTAAAAAGCAACTTTTAAATGGAAGAATTTTCTTCTGACTCCCACCATTATTTAACACCCACATTATTTAACAGGGTAGAGACAATGGCATACAGCGAGTATGCTCCAACTGGCATGAAGGCAGATTTACAACAGTACAGCACAGGCCCTCGGGGGGAGTTTCTGGATACAGCAGCAGACCCCTGGCCCTGGCTCCTGCAATGTTCCAGTCTCAGCAGGAACTTGGTCTTCTGTGTTCACGACTGGTTCCATCTTGTCCCACGGAGCGTCGGCATTGCCCAGTTTATACCGACTTCTGTCTAGTGCCAGGCTTCACCTCTGGCTGCCGCTAGACTCCCCCCTCACGTCTGTTCCCCAGTTCTCGGTCCGAGCAGCCCAGTTCGTGAAAGCCTCGCAGCCTGGCAGGGGAGGCCCAGCCGCCGCCATTTCCCCACAGCCCTGCGCCGGTGACAGGCGCGGCTCAGCCACCGCCTGACCGCGCAGGGCCACGCAGCGTGGGGAGTCCACACGCCGCTCCGCAGCTGTGCGCAGTTCCTCTCGGAGGGGCTGGGGACGGCGGGGCGGGGGGAGCAGCCACCGCCCGCCCCACGCGTGAGGCGCGGGTGCCCCCGCGCGGCTCCCGCCCGCGGGCTCGCAGCGCTGCTGGGGAGTGACACGAATCCACGGGAGCCGGCGCGGCTTTCTGAGCTCCCCTCGGAGTGACAGTTTTTAGACTATTGTAATTAGGAGCAAAGGTGGATGTTGAGTCAATTCATTCTTCACAGCACCCAGTCACACCGGTACCCAACCGCTCCCAGTCGCTGTCTCGGCTTCTCCTCCACACTCTGACACTCACACTGAAGCTGGCAAAAATGAAACGTGATCACTTCAAAGCCCCTTTCCTGATCCTCTCTAGTCATCAACTTTATTTTTGCAGCTATTTATAGACCCAGCTGAGGGTGCAGTCCCAGATACAAGAATTTAAAACATATCATCTAAAGAGATTTATGGTGGCAAATTATTGTATTGTACTTGAATTTCCAAAGGTTCCAAAGATCCACGTAATTAAAAATTAACCAGTAACGGGCAAAGCTAGAAAACAGTAGTTGTCGTGGCTCAGAACTGTGACTAAAGTAAATGTGAAGAGAGTATTGATGAAAGGTACAACTGTCTTTTTTTGTTTGAAAATTTCAAACTCTTATGAATTACTGAGTCAGTACTTGGAACACAAGTCAGAGATTTCAAACCACTAACTCTAGCAAAGAAGTACTGACAGGAGCGTCACCAGCAGTTTCATGTTGTTTTACCTTCTTCATGCTGTCTAGCTACTTACTCAAATAGTATGTCATATCCCATTTTCCCACACTTTTTTCCCCTTTCTGCATTTCTAGTTAACATAGTTGTTAATCATGCTTCTTTTTGGAAAATCTGAGCAAGTGTGCACAATTGTATAAAATTATGGATTATTAAAAACTGGTATAGGTACATATTACAGTGCACTGGTAGACAGAAGAGCCTTAGAACCACAAGTCCACAAATTTTTTTATTAAAATAACACCAAGTTTAAGAAATTGATGCAGTGCAAAGAAACTTCAATTCATCATACAAAAAAAAAATAATGATTTTCCATCCTTAATGTAAACTGCATTCAAATCCTGACATGATTGACATAATACAGAAACACTGTATCCCAGACGAATGTCAAAGTTAAAGACTGGCATGCTGGGCTAGGAAGGTTCTTATTCTTTGCAAGAGCTCTTTCTTTACGCTGTCTGGTACCAAGGCTGAAACACAAGTAAGAAAGCAAGAAGTAAAAAAGACAATATGGAAAATATGCTAATACCAACATTTTACAAAAGCTACTTCTTTGTTCTTGCAGTTAATACCTACAGTAACTGAAGCTACTTGATATTCATATAACACATCTATATTTTTCCCATTTAGAATAGGCTGAAATTGAAATCTATTGAGAACACTGTTGTTACTGGTATTTTTTTTGCCTAGCCATAGTCAAGAGAATTGGAAAGTTTGAGGGGTAGTATTATTCAACAGTTAACAGGATATAATCAACAGAAACTTATCAGGATTATCCTACCTTTTTTCCCCTCAAATTTAAGACTGAAAAAAAAAAATCTCAGTTATGACCTCAGAGTAAGGGTCTTCAGCAAGTTATTTATTATTCAGCAAGACCTCTTTTTATTTAAGACTTCTTAAAGTTTCTCCCACTAACACCAAAGTCCATTAGAGTCCAAGAAGAACTATATAAAGACGTCTGAGTATTTCCTTAAGAGATTCCATTTTTCTGTATGTTACATCCTTTCCTCTTCCCACTTCCCCACTAGTACCATTAGTTCAGATTTTCCATCCTGAAAAGGACTGGGATTTTAAAACATCTCTGCTGCATACCCCAAGTTTTCTTGGGACCGTTAAGTCAATTATAAAGATGAATATGGACTCATGACTAAATAATGTAACCTGCAAAAGTAGCCTACACACACAGCTCATTAAAAATTTTGAATTGCTGTTACATAATATAAATTCACCTTCTATTTGTAGTTAGTATCAAGCTATTAACATTTTTCCTTGAATCCAACACAGGCAGGTTCATAATGCTGCTTTCAAAATATTAATGAAATACAGATAGGTATGTTTATTGATGTACTACCACACCCACATTTGCATTTTCTTACCTCTGCCTTTGGGAGTGATTTCTGCCACCAAATCATCAACAGTAACATGCTCTAATCCTTTTTCTTTAATGACATCTGGGGAAGACCAAGACCGATATTTTAAGTATTTTAATGCATGCATTAAAAGACAAAACCTCTGCCAATGATTAAGAGATAAAACCTGCATGCATAGGTCAGCAGAGAATATGAAGGAGCATGTGACCTAAATACAGGTTATTAACTCAGCACCTACTGCATTTCACAGTGGATTTAGTCTCTCATTCATACCACAGGTTTAAGGATGGGAACTTGTCACTACTGATGCATCCTGATCAGATCATATTTTAAAATCAAACCTTACGAAGTTTAAGATTATCTGAGCATTACCAGATGTGCATATTACTTGCGTGTTGTAGCAGTTCACAAGTTGGTCCACTTATGTCTTCAAACACATTATTTACAACAGTGAGAAAGAGATGCAATTGGAAGACGACTTTGGAATACACAAGTGAGAGACAGAAACAGTAAATACTTATTACTCTTCCTATCTGGTTTAAATAACATCTCTCTGTATATCTCAGCAAAGTAAAAAAGCATATCTGAAAGAAAGGTGTACACCTATAGCAAAATAAAAGCTATGATTAAGATATACAGTATGATTAATACATGCCAGTATTTAAACAATTGTCCACTTATAGTGCCTTGAAGATTACTGAAAATGCAGCAGTCAATGCTGAGAAGAAACCTCAATTCAGTAACATAAACCTGAAATATTTTGTCTAAATATGAATGTTTTTAACTGTATGTTAGTATATCACATGAACTATTTGTAAACTGTTTTTCTTGGCTGAATTCCCTATAGAAATTAATCGTGGATTGCTCAAGTATTGGCCCTAATCCATAATGGCAAGAGGCTCTAGAAGAAGCTACCAAAAAATCCCCACTCCCACCCTAACCAAAGAATAACATAACCTCCCCGCCCCTCCCCCCCCCCCCCCCCCCCCCCCCCAAATCCCTCTCTGTCCTCTCTTTTTGGAGGTTACTAGGCCCTGAACAGGGACAAATAAACTTATATTTGCATTCTCAGCAGCTGCAGTTACAGTTCAAAGTACTATTGTAAATTAAATAATTTTACATTACACTCTGCTATAGTAAAGTTATGTGTATAGTTGAGAAGGCAGATAAACATCCCTTTCACTATCTGTACTACTGAAATAGGTAATCACTGGCAGTGGCTTCAGGCAGACAACTGCAAGCACGAATCATCTGAGCATTCTCTGCACATCCACCTATGAAAACAATTTAAGACAGCCCTACAAAAAGAAAAACCTTGTAAAGGAATATTGAGTTGCTAAGTACAATAGACCACATCAGGATTAAATCAAAAGTTCATGGGATTTGCTATTTGCTTTAAGGAAATTTCATAATGTGATAATATTCCTGGATGCTTAAATACTATTTATAACAGTTTCATACAGTCAGTAAATTGCAGTCATGCTGAATACTTAACTCAGAACTAAAGATTTGGGTATTTCGAGGTTCATCTGCTTGTTTTCACTCATCTAAGTACATGATCTTATTTTAAAGAACTGTATCCAGAAAGAATACCAATGCACTTCTTTCTCACTTATATGCAGATAACTAAGTTCTCTTTAATTTCTAAGTTGTGTACCACTGTATTTGCTCAATTTTCAATTATCTTGGTTTTTATTCTCCAGTGGTAAGGAAGTCATCTCTCAAAACAAAAAGCTGTATCACAATGAATATTTAGAGAATCAGTTCCAATGTTTTTCTCAGAAGCTTAGTAAGGCTCAGATCAAAGAAGTTTCAAGAATTTTTTTTTTTGCAAGATGGCAAGATGTTCTTGCGTGCAAAACCGATTGCCAGGGTTACTTTCCTCTTGCCCAAGTCTCATTTAAATTGATTGTTAGTCAGTAAAGCCTTCATCTGGGACTTTTATTTGGCCAGAACTTCAGCTGATTACAAAAGATATTAGTTATTTGACCACTGTTACCTTTGCAATGTGCCTTCAACTGATCCTTCCAGCCGCATTCAATTAATTTGGCTCTCAGCAATTCTTTAAGGCTGTTAAAACAATATACAAACATGTTAGGAACAGCAAGCATTCCTAACAGCTTAAATATGCTTCAGGGTAAAAGTTAAGCCTACATCTACTACTCATAGCAGAACTCCTACACCAGCAGCAATGGCTGAACAGCATGTAAATCTTAACCCAAATGGGTACCAATTGCAGTTTACCATGTTAAACTATGAGAAGTTGGTGGCTCAGAAGCTAATTCACAGTATTCCTTCAAGAAGTGTTGATGCTGCAGCCACATAAAAGAGGTAGAAGCTCTTGAATCACCAGAACTGCCCGAGTCTACTCTCTTAGAAAATGTATGCTAACTTTCAAAGTTAGAATATTTCACCTGAAACCAGGCCTTCAAAATACATAAAACCTTCCGCCCTCCTTTCTGAAAGAATTCTGTACTGCTGTATTCAACTTCAGGTTTCTCTCCCTGGTTACATGTTACCTTGTGTTAGGGGAAGATGAAGGGATCATGCATCTTCTCTTCCTAAGCGTGGTTAGCAATTATAAGCATAAGCAACAAGGCTTCAGGCATTAAATGGAGAAGACACACAACAATCTGTCACAATGATACATCTACTTCATATACAAGAGAATATTGAAAGCTAGCTAAGAAAGTGAAAATTAGTACCAAGAAACGGAAGGGAAAATTAAATTCAGATATCATAAAATAAACTTTAAGATCTTTATCCTTTATTACATCAGCTAGCAAGCCTACTTATCTTGCACCATTCCAAAGAACTCTACCAAAATTCTGGTTTTATGAATGAAAGGGTTACAGCAAGAGGCTGAACTGTGTAGGTCTACTCCATTTTACTCAGTGATTTGTGAAGAGAGCAAATGAACTGATAACAAAAATCAGAGTAACAATACAGGTGACATTTATTGATTCTGGATATGTCTTGATTCAAGAAATATGAGTGCAGCTCTGATAAAGCTTGTTTACAATACAGCTTTTGACATCCTGTCAAAACTCTTCCTACTCTTAAATTAAAATAAAATAGGTCTCAATACCATTTCAAGAAATTGCTTGCTCTGCTGAAGCTCTGTGCAATTTCCAAGGGGACAGTCACAACCAGGAAAGTAGAGCACAGGTAGACTAGGTACACTAGGTTCAGGGCTATGCAATGACCTAGGAAGAAGACTCCTCCTCATACAGGCCTTGAAAAATGAAAGAAATGGAGCTTTGGGTGCATGATGTTACAAATACAGTGAAATGATGAGGAGGAAAATGTCATAAACACACTAGCGATATGTAAATACACTGAAAATAGAACAGACTGGAGAGACAACAAAAGGCCAAAAACTAGCTGCCACACTACACTGCGCAATTTACTTGTTTGCCTTTATTGGGATCTCTACAATGACTTGCACAAGTGCTGTTATATGTGTTCCACTGTCTATTTCTTACCCTAACACGAGAAGATACAGGAACACAAGAAAGACATAAAGCCAAAAGGAAAGCTTTGTCTCATTCTCTTTATCAGGAAACAATACGATTTAACTTCAACAAATTGCATTTAATGGTGATTTTTATATGAACCAAGAGCTTTCCAACACAAAATACCAGGAAAAAAACCCCAAACTTTAGAGTTCATAAGCCAACCACCCCATCCTACATTTTCCCAGCTTCTCAAGTGTAAAACTTAAACTGTTCAAAAGGCAAAAATAAGGCATCAGGTTCTGTTTGTTTTGGTTTTTTTTTGTGTTTTTTTGTTGTTTTTTTTTTTTTTTTTTTGATATAGCTTTATGTGATAGATAAGACTTTCACATGCAAGCATTTGAAGAAACGAGTTACGTTTACTTAATCCTTACTTCTAGGTATAGTTCAGGCTTGGTAACATTTCAAGCCTCTCACGGGCATGGCGCAGGAAGCCTTACTTACCGTTCTCGCTCTCCTGTTTCTATCAGCTTTTGGTTAATGGTTGCTCTCATCTGGGCATCTTTATTCATTTTGGAAACCAAGGCTTTTCCACAAACCTACACAGAGCAGAAGAGAGTTTTAACAACTACCGGTGCCGCTGACACAACAACAAAAAAAGAAAAGCCAGTCGCTCAGCATTACGCGCAGCCCGTTTACGCGTCCCCGCAGCCCGGGACCGGCTCAGGGCGGACGAGCAGGCACAGACCGGCGCCACGGCAGCACTCCCGGGCCGCCCCAGCGCCGAGGGGGCCGCCAGCTCACCGGGCGGGGCGCGGCGCGGCCCGCCCCCGCCGCCGCGGCCTCCCCCCCACCCGGCGCCTCCCGGCTCCGCCGCGCCTGGAGCGAGCGGACGGCCGCGGGGAGAGGGGCCGGCAGGCCCGGGCCCGGGCCGCCCGCGCTCCCACCTCACCCCGCCAGTCCCCGGCGGCAGAAGGCGGGGCCGCCTCCCGGACGCACCGCCCGGCCCCGCTCCCGCCCTCCTCGGCGCGGGCGCCGCCGGGAGCGGTAGTCCGGGCGGTGCTGCCGGCTCCGGGCCGCCCTCGAGCCGGCACTACCGCTCCCGGCGTGCCCCGGCGCTTCCCGTGACGCTCGGCGGCCGCTCCCGCGCGTCGCCCGAGGGGCCGCCGCCGCTCCCGCAGGTCTTCCCCGGAGCCGCGGCATGGCGGGCGCCGCCCACTGCTCCCTGCGGGCCAAGCGCCTGCTGCTGGACCCCAAGTTCGAGGGCTACAAGCTGTCCCTGGAGCCGCTGGCCTGCTACCAGCTGGGGCTCGACGCGGGTGAGGAGCGGGGCTGGGTGCGCCCTAAGGCCTGGCCGGCCCCTCGGGCAGCGGGGGCGGGTACCGTGTCTGTCCGCCCGTCTCTCCGTGCTCCTGCGGTGCTCCCCGGCCCAGGGACCCTCGGGCCGAGCGTGCCCTGAGCTGGGGAAGGAGCCCGACCCGCCTTACCGGGAGGCCTGCGCGCCGCTTCTCGGTCGGGAACGGCGGGCGCTTGAGAGACTTCGTGTTTCGTCTCGGTTTTTCTCGTTGCAATTGGCTGCAATGTTGGCGTTGCTCCCCTCCCCCGCTTCATGTGGTTTCGTGGTGGACCAAGTTCTCCTGACTGTTATCAAATGGCCGCCCTGCAGCTGGCTGCCCCTGCGAGTTTGAGCTTAGCTTCTCAGTGGGTAAGAAGATCTGTGTGCTGGGTCTGGCCTTGGCTTGTGCACACCTGGCAAGGCCAGATGACCGGCTGGGGAAGTTTGAAGCGGTAGTGTTCATATGAGTGTGATGAAGTACGTGTGATTTAGAGAAATATATATGAAGTTAGTATCTTCTGCAAAACAGCAAATTACCTGTTTTTCTTTATTACTCTGCTCCAGAGGTGGATCTTGAGGCTATGCATTCCATGCTCTGCTTTTTCTGCTAAGCATTGCTAACATTTGAGGTACTGGTCCATTAATGGGCTAATTCACTGAGAACTTTAGCACAAAGTCACGTTGGGTGTGTGCTTACAACCTTAGCCATGCCCCCTGAAGTCTCTCCACGTGCTACCTTTTTGATTTGTGAAATTTAGATCTTTTGTAAAGCAGATGAATTAATTTATCTTTTTTATAAAGCTGGGGCAGTAATATACAATTTGGGATGACTCTCTCTACCTCTAGGTATATTTACTGAACAATATACCTGTCTGCAGGGTTACCTGGTATGTGTTACTTCAGTTATGTGTCGACTACATTGTGCTAGTAGTGGATCAGAAAGGTATGTTTACCATGGTGAATTGTAAGCAGTAAGGTGGAAGTTGTATGTGAAGTGTGTATTGAAGGATGAGTGAATGAGATTGTGGTGATACTGTGTGTGTATCAATGAAACATTTAACGAGAGTAACGTTTTTGTTACGTATTTTGACATTTTTACTGTAGGACTGATTTAGGTGTCGCCTTTCAAAAGACAGCCCAAATGTTAGGGATGTGTGTTAGGAGTGTACTACAGCTGTGGCCGAGATGAGAACAGTTAGTGTAGTGTAGGTACAGTCTCTTCGTTTGTCCTTTAGTTGATGTTCTTCTTATGGTCAAACAAGCTATACGGTTCTTGGACTGTCATTTGTGCACCTATTCTAAATAGATGAGGATTGCAGATTTTCATTCAAATGTTTGAATGATGGAGTTGCCAATGGGGAGATGGATCTAGTTCTTGTCCGCTCAGGTATTTTACGTAATTTGTGTGATAGAAGAGTGACATGTGTGTGATACAAGATTTATATGTGTGCCTGTGTTCTTTCTGTTCTCCGCTTCCCACAGCACAAAGACCCTGACTCATTTCCGTCTAATTTATTTGGCCGTCCCATTAATAGAAAATCACTTACTCTGTTCTCTGTGTTTGTGTGTGTGTGTATAGAGAGATATTGGTCCACTGGAGAGTGGAAGGTTTTTATTTTGTTGCTGTTTTTTAAAATTAGTAACATGAAATATAAACCAAACCAGGCTCTGTATCTGTCTTCTAGATGTTTTGTTTGCCCACGTTTCAGCTCTCAGGCCATACAGCTGGTTCTCCTTGCTGTTTTTCTTCTGCTTACTTCAAGGCAGTTTCCTCACAGTACAGAGATGTTCTGTACCTGAATTTCCTATTTCCTGGTGTCAGTATGTACATCGTATACGTAGACTGAGGGCATCCTTCTGTAACTTGACTTCAGTGTTGTGCAGGAATAATGGGTTGTGTTGTAGAGATGGTGGCTGGTGTATAGGCTGTGGCTTTTTCAAATTACTGTTTGGAGGAAGAAATTAATACTGTGTGAGAAGGCCAAGGACTTCTGCTTTTCAGCACATTTGTGAGCAGATTAAAAGTCTCAGGAACGTGATGAAGAACTTGGTAGTTTGTGGGTTATTAAATGAATATTTGTCACTGAGTAAAGAGTTTGATTTTGTTTTCTCAAAGTGGGAGTGAGTAAAGTACAATAGCTGAAAAAAATGTCAAATATTTAGGAACACTGTCAGCATGACTAATTTCTGGTAATATTCACAACTGTGTGCAGAAATGTGGTTGTAGAATCTGGAAGATTAATGTATAAAGGTGGTTGAATTTTTTGTTTGTTTTCCAGGAAACTATCTCAGGAGTGATTGTCTCAAATGACCTGGGTTTTGGAGTTTTGCCTGTGTGGCATCCCAAATTTCATGGCAGTAAGATGAACATAGGAGATTTAAAGTACACGCAATACATGACAATAAATAGAAATAGGTACTCATTCTTAAGTAGAACTGACTTAATTCAGCTGTAGTTGAAGTATGCAGTGTTATTACAAATTTGTGTATTAAGCATTAGAGTATTAATCTTTTTCATTGATATTTTAATCTATGTTTTTATATTTATCCATTTTTATGAATTTCACTGCTAGCTATAAAATGACAAAAAAAAAATTGTTACGTGGAATTGATGCGGACTTTTACTACTGGAGCAGGTGGATAGCAGCACATGGTGTTGTGGGGCAACTTGCAGTGGTTGTCGTGCTCATGTGGACTACAATGAGCTTCATTTTCTGACCATTGTGTGAAACTTAGTATTCAATTCTAATTTGCCTTTAACTGTCAAACTGTGGTTGCCAGGAATTTGCTGTGGTCAGATGTGCAGCTGAATCAGAAAGAAATCAAAATTATTTATTTGATCTGTGGTAGAGGGGAATTTTCTAGTGAATTTCTCAAATAAGTGCTCACGGTGAAGATGAATGGTGAAATTCTGATATCTCACGTTCCCTTTTAAATACTCTGATTTGCATGTTCTTTTATTTCTTCCTTACTCCTACCCATTCTGTCTTAGTTAATCTAAACTTTCAGGCATTTGTATTTTCTCATCTCTCATCCTGGTAACATGTTTTGACTAGTAATGAGTCCCACACTACTATACCTTTAATTCCCAACTCTTCATCCTAAATTTTGTCTATTTTTCTCCTTATTTTCCTTAGTATATTTCCATAACTTATTTTCAAACATTTCCTTTGCATTGAGCTTTGTAATGCCTTTCTTTTAGATCACTGAAGCTTTCAGAGAGAGAAAAGAGCGTCTCGTTTACTGGCACCTCTTCTGTACTGATCTGATCTCAGCAGAACCCAAAGCAGTGATTGTCAGGAAATCCTTGTCTCCAACAGGGAGCATGTCTAAGATGCACGACATTTTTAAAAAATTGAGAACCTTGCTCTTGACTTCCACTGGTCAGATGTAACTTGATTCCTTTTTTTTTTTTTTTTTTTTCCAGAAGCTTAGAATTTATTCAGAAGTGGATATCCCACATGCTTTTCCTCTCTTTCTTGTCTATTTGGCAGAACCATTATACATATGATGTAGTGTATGCTTTTTGATACAATAACAGCTGAAAGGCATAGTAAGAATCCACTCAAACATGGAGCTCCTGTTGCAAGCCAGAAGAATATGCAGAGAATGCATTCCTTTGATCATGTGCATTTATGGGGTTTTGTCACTTTTTAAAAAAATTGGTGTTAGTAAATAACTGCCCTATTTGCATCCTGCTTAGACTGGAGGGTCTGTACTTTAGTGAAAAGTAGCTGCCCATTGGTAATGCTACCTGGAAAACATGCGTTTGTGTCTTTTTCTGGAGTGAGAGGCACTGATATGTTTCAAATGCTTGTAGAGATTTCCATTTGTATTTTCCATTTCTACTTGAAAAAATTATAGAAAAAAAAAGTCTTCTTAGTAATGTATGGGAAATACTAAAAAAACTGTGAGCCACAGCTTTTTCAGACAGTTACAGCTGCAGTTCATAAATCTAGGTTTACATCTCAGGCATATGTGTATCTGTTCTTGTGTTGTACTTTAATTTCTTGAGAAAGAAAAAGATAATGTAGAGGCATGTTCTGCCCTGGAACTGTTGTTAAAGAAAATGGTTCTTGCAGCTGGCACAAGTCAGCTTATAAAGCAAGGCATTGCTATAGTGTCACTTTCACAAATGCCTTGCTAGTGTTTGGATCTTACTCAATTTATTTGTTCAATTTAGTGTGTGATAGATCCCATTTACTTTTCACACCTGTGTAAGTAATTTGATCAGGCAGAAATACTTCATTACATGGTATCTGTCAGCCCGTGCTTGTTTTCAGCAAGCTATGTATTTATTAAACAGTAAATTTTTGTGTTTAGTCTAACATACTCACAGCAGTAGAATAAACAAACTTTGTACTTTTACTCAACAACCTCAATGAGATGATGCTGCCATTAACAATAAAAACATATTTGTTAATATTAAAAGAATTAATGCAAGGCTAGAAGGATCTCTGAATGCTCATACTAGAAAATAAATTAATGTTAGTTCTTCTACCAGTAGATAACTGTATATGAAATACTAAATTGCTTCCACTGGGTGGCATTGCAAAACAAAGTATGACATACAAGCGTGTAACATTCAATGCCCCAAAATAATATGCTGATATAATTATTTTACATATTTTTTTTGTACTGTAAAGTTATCTTTATGTATTCAGTAAAACATCTAAAAACAAGAGCAGAGTGAGAGGACTGGGTGAGTGTTTCTCATTCTTTGTTTTCTACTTTTTTTTTTTTTTTTCCATTCTGCTTTATAGTGTTTGTGGCAGATGCAACACTTCACTATTCATTTAAAGTGTAAGCCCCTTGGTAGTGCTCTTTATTCTGAGTGAGATTTTTTTATGCAGTGTGGAGTAATAATTAGAGTAAGATCCAGTTAGGTTAGGGATGTCTTACTCCTGTTAATTCTTATGAGTTTCTTTGTATTTAGTGCTTTTGCTTTTAAGTAAAGGTGGTGTGAGTGAAAATCTTTGCTTAATTAACTTTGAACTATTTTGAGTCAAATTACTTTTTTTTAAGTGTGGAGCTGGAGATAAATACAATTCTAGAAAAGTAGCATAATTTTCTTTGTACCAGTCTGAAGCATCCCACCTAACTAGGGTTTTTGTGAAATAATATTGAAAGCTAAGATTTAATTGATACATTCTGCTTATTTGCTCTCTTTTCTGGTGTGACAGAGTATGAATCAATGTTCTTGGGTTTTACTAGTGCAGATTTGTTTATCAGAAACTTGAAGGAGACCATGTATCATTCTGTTGAATAGCTGTCATTAACTACTGCTTGTTAATTGAACACAAAAAGCTGAAGCTGGCCAATTAGTCTGACTCTTAAAAAAACCCCAAAACAAAACAGAACCAAACCAAACAAACACCCCCCAACACACACAACTGCAAACCAAACAGCAACAAAAAAATAGCAAAAATTCCTGACCAAACAAAAATACTGCAAAACTGTAATTATGTGACTGCGGTGATGATGTGACTGAAGTATTCCTTCTTTTCCCTTTATATTAACTTCTCTTGTTCTGAATTTACTTTATTAAAAGTCTTCATTTCTCCTCTCTTTTGTCCTTCATTTTTTTTCACTCAGCTCTGTTGGTTTTCTCCTCATTTTTCCAGGGATCATTAAGAAATCTTGAACCTGGAAGGCTGTGGAAAGGAAGGAATGAACTTCATCCTAATGTAAAATCTCCTATAAACTATCTGAGCACATGATATGTTAGAGCAGATGGCATTTGTGCACAGATTTCACTTGATCACAGAATGGGTTTCAATTAATTGAGGATGGAATAGCTTCTCTAATTACTTTTATAATATGTATATGCAAGATATATTCTGCAAGCTATACAGCCTGTTTATACAGCTATATATACAGGATACTTTCTGCAAGCAGTTGATAACCTTACTTGAAGTGTTTCATCACAGTACAGTACACATTTGTTTAATTTCCTGGTTTAAAATCACCTATAGATTGTATAGTTTCTGACCTCTGCTTATGAAGAGTTAACGACATACTGCAATTATACAAGGAAATTGTATCTCCTATTCCTGACCCCTTATTACTCTGGGCTTGTTAGGAGTACAGGCTGAAAAACTCAAGGACAGAGAATTTATTCATGCTCTGCCAGCTTTTATGAAGTTTATCACCTTACAGTCAGCTAATCAATAGTATATTGTTGCAAGAATTTTCTTGAAAGGTTATAGATTTGCTTTAGGAAGCATCATTTGGACTGTTTTCACTATTTGTATGCATTACGATTCTGACAGTAGCAACGTGTCTAGGGTGAGGGGGACAGGGAGGGAGAAGTGGACGAGACAATTTTATGTTTTCTGTGCTAAAAAAGCTTTACGTGCTTCTGCATGTGTATTCTCATTTCAGAAGATCAGTTAACTTAGTTATACAGGAAGTAGATGACATGCATTTGGTTTCACTGAAAAATAATTATCCTGGATTATATTTGGCTTTGTCTTTAATTGTTTACAAAATATTCACATCATCTCTTCTCATGTTGTGAAGAATATCTCTGTGATAAAGTTTGATTATACAAACAGCTTTAAAATGTGTTTCCACAACACATTCTTCTAATTTATCTTATGTAATTTACTGTAAAGTATTCTAATTAGTTAAAGTAGAAATTGGAATGGGCAGCAGTCTCTCCCATTATGACAGATGTATTTTCTTCTTACTCCTTTCTTGACGTTCTAGTTTCTTTTTAAGGGCTATGACTTAGGGAACAGTAATTTATTAATTGCAGAGGTACGGAAATCCCTCCTGTGTGGTGAATATGAATAATGATTTGAGCTGAGTGGAATGAATGCTGTTAGTTTGCTCATATCAACAGCGATTAGGAGACTAATTGCTAATTATGCTGTCATTTTACAAGCATTTTGTATAGTATGACTGGATTTTTTTATTAATCAGACAATACAATCTTGCATAGTTTCCTATAGCCACTTTTATGTTAATAGTACCATTGTAGTGAACAGCCTTTGTCTGTAGCCTAGTTAGAAAAAGCTTAGCCTGAAATTTTGGTAGTATGGACATTTCTCAAGATTTCAACCCCAGTGGGACATGTATTTTTTCTATAATGGCCATGTATTAATTCTTCTTTGTACTGTTTTAATCTTTTCCCTTGCAAGTGGTGATAGCTTGGTAATTTAAGGCTATGAAATCCACGTAGTTAGATGGGATATTTCTTTTGTCTATTTTTGTCTTGGAGTTACCATAGAACAGGATTTTTTTTTCTTTACTGTAATACCAGGTACATATAAGGAATGATAGGTGCTCTTCCCAAGCAGACTTAAAAGTAGGTTTTACATGGTACTTGCATGTGTGTTTCATCTTGTGAGGGTTATTGACAAAGTGGATCTCAACACATGTTGGGAAGAGACAGTATGGGTTTTGGTAGTGGGGGGGGCTGCGGAGGCGGCTTCTGTGAGAAGCTGCCAGAAGCTTCCCCCATATCTGAACAGAGCCAATGCCAGCTGGCTCCAAGACGAACCTGCTACTGCCCAAGGCTGAGCCCATCAGTGACAGTGGTAGTGCCTCTGGGATAACACATTTAAGAGTGGGAAAAAAACCTGTGCAACTGCAGCTGAAGAGAGGAATGAAAATATGTGATAGCAACAGCCCTGCAGACACCAAGGTTGGTGAAGAAGGAGGGGGAGGAGGTGCTCCAGGCAGCGGAGCAGAGATTCCCCTGCAGCCTGTGGTAAAAACCATGGTGAGGCAGGCTGTGCCCCTGCACCCATGGAGGTTAATGGTGGAGCAGCTATCCACCTGCAGCCCGTAGAGGACCCCACTCCAGAGCAGGTGGATGTGCCTGAAGGAGGCTGTGACCCTGTAGGAAGCCGACACTGGAGCAGGCTCCTGTCAGGACCTGTGGACTTGTGGAGAGAGAGGAGCCCACGCTGGAGCAGGTTTGCTGGCAGCACTTGTGACCCCATGGGAGACCCACGCTGGAGCAGTCCGTTCCTGAAGGACTGCACCCTGTGGAAGGGACCCATGCTGGAACAGTTAGTGAAGGACTGTCTCCCATGGGAAAGACCGGTGTTGAAGTTCACACATGACTATTTCCTGTGGGAGGGACCCCACACTGGAGCAGGGGAAGAGTGTGAGGAGTCCTCCCTCTGAGAAGGCAGGAACAGCAGAGAGTGTGATGAACTGACTGTAACCCCCATTTCTTATCCCCCTGTGCTGCTCAGGGGGAGGAGGTAGAGAAATCTCAAGTAAATCAAGCATAGGAAGAATGGAGGTGTGGGAGTGTCCTGGGTTGAGTGAGTGGTGGAGTGTTTTTGGTGGCAGGGGAGGGGGCTATAGGGGAAGCCCCCTGTGAGAAGCTTCTTGAAGCTCCCCCAGCTCCAAGTCAGCTCCACTTGTGTTTGGAAAACTGAGCCAATCAGCTGCACCTCTGTGATAATGTATTTAAGAAGGGACGTGGTGACGGGCAGTCGGACTTGTGAGGAGGAGTTGCTGCAGCTGCATGAACACCAAGGTCAGTGGAGGAACGGAGGAAGAAAGGAGGGGGGAGGTGTGCCAGAGCAGAGACCCCCCTGTATCCTGTGGTGAGACAGCAGGGTGGCCCCCTCTGCCACACATGAAGATCTGCGGTGGAGCAGACACTGATGTATGGCCTGTGGCTTCTGCTTGGCATAATCAAGGTTCTGTGCCCAAAGAAGGCCGGGGTCTAGTGGGAAAAGGTAGCCCCGCTGCTGTAATTCAGTGCTGGGAGGATTGCAGCATGCGGGGGAGTCCCACACTGGAGCAGCTCGGGAAGGGCTGCAGCCATGGGAGGGAATCCAGTCGGAGAAAGTTAGTGACCCACGATGGAGCAGTGTGGGGAACGCTGCAGCCCATGGGAGGAATTCATGTTGGAGAAAGTTTGTGGAGGACAGTCTGCTGTGAGAGGGGGACCACGCTGGAGCAGGGGGAAGAAGTTCCAGAAACTCACCTCACTGAAGATAAAGGAAGTGGCAGCACTGACTGCACCCCCCGTTCACTGCCCCTGTGCCACTGTGGGGAGGAAGTAGAGATATCGGGAGCAGAGCTGAGCCCGGGAAGAAGGGAGAGGTGGGGGAAGGTGTCCTCAAGATGTGACAATGCTTCTCACTGTCCTATTCTGTTATGTGTTGTTAGTATCTGTAATAAATGTACTTTTTTTTTTCTTCCCCTAACAAGTCTGCCTTTTGCTTGTGATCATAAAGTGGAATTTTTCCCCATCCCAGTCCTATCTCGAACCCCAAGCCTGGCTCTCTGTCCCTTCTTATTGCCGGATGAGAAGGGAGAGAGCACTGCTGTATTGTGGTTGGCTGCCAACCAGGCCCAAACCACGACAGGCAGGAAGGTGTTGCAAGATTTGGTTCTATTTCTTATTATCCTATTCTGATTTAATTCATAATAAATTAAACTTATTTCCCCAAGTTGAGTGTTTTGGCTGTGATGGTAATTGCTGAGTGATCTCTCCTTGTCGTTATCTCGACCCACAAGCCTTTCATTATATTTTCTCTCCCCTGTCCAGCTGAGGAGGGGAGTGACAGAGCGGCTTTACTGGGCACCTGGTGTCCAGCCAGGGTCAACCCACCACAATAAGACACTGTAAATGGTAATAATTACTACATGATCACAGTGAATGACTGCAGTGGCCTGCAGTGTGAATGATCTCCTTTTCAAGTTTATGATGAAGTTTTAAACTATCTGAAGAAAAGTACATTGTGTATATATAAACAGAATCTGTGGACTAAGTATGAAAGAATTATTTTTAAATTATTAATTTGAAATTTAATTATGAATAAATCAATAATTAAATAAATGTTAACATGGTGTTTCGTTTTTGTTTCCCTCCCCAGCTGTAGCAGAAGTGAAACTTCGTGATGATCAGTACACCCTTGACCACATGCGTGCTTTTGGCATGTATAATTATCTTCACCTTGATTCCTGGTACCAGGATAATGTCTACTATATTGATCAGTTTGGAAGGGTTATGAATCTGTCAGTGACTCTGGTAAGAATAAACTTTTTAAAAAAACTACTGAATATGAAAAGATGGGGGGTAGGTAAGGTAGGAAATCTGGCAAGGAAGATCCAAATGCAAAAACTGGGGGAAGCTATTGCCAGGAAGACAGGTAGATTAACAAAAATGGAGTTCACCAGGAAGAGCGAAAGGATTTTAAGTGAGGTTTCCAACGTGTTTTCATTCATAATATTGCAGTAGTGTTACTTCTGCTTCCATTCTGGGGAAGATAGACGTGGTAACAAGCTGAAGAAAAGAGCAGACACTTCTTTTCTAGTTGCTGGCTGTTCCTACCCTGCGTTACTTGATGTTTGTCTGATTGCTAATTTGAAAATCCAGTCATTGCAGATATAAGGAGAGAAAGAAGCTGTGTGAGAAGTATTAGAATTAGAAATGCAAGCCTTTATGGACTAATAGCTTAATCTGGGCATCACTTGTTGGAAGCAAAAAGATGCTGGTGGCCCTGGGCAAGCTTGAAATAGAGTGTAATCAGGCTAGGCCAAGTGTCAAAAACATGACAGTTCTCTGCTTTTATATTAATGTTCTTAAGTAGTCTAATTTTCTATTTCTTTTGAGCCATTTTAATGCATGGATGCATTAGTTTCCATTACTAAGCTATTCTTCATTCTGGAGGGGAAAGGACATGGCTCTATGGACCCTGTTTCAGGTACATGCAATTGTGCTTGGTCATTAAGGAGTAAAAGACTGTGGAAAGGAAGATATCCCTTGTCATGCTACCAAGGAATTTGGCTTGTAACCCTGTGGGGCAAAAGAAAACACAGGGCAATGTGTGATTTTTGAGAGTATGGTTTACTCTGTGCAGGGTTCTGGGGATAGAAATTACTAGGCCAGGGCTAAGATGAGAAAAATCCTGAAATGTTAGTTTTAGATTTTTCAGGAAATGCAGGTTTCCAGATGATGATAGGCTGAGAACTGAAGCTGCAAAATAGTTCCTTTACTTTTCATAGAACACAGAAGCAGTTGGGCCCTTTGGCAGACTCTTGCTGAGACAGAATAATCTTCCGGGACTTCTTCCAAATCTTTTAAGATCATCTGGGTTCCCAGTAGGAACATCTAAAAGAAATAAGCTTGTCTGGGAAAGCCTTCTGTTAACAGTTGCTCATCACAATCAATTTTTTGTGTCTTCTCCTTGTGGTTGGTTAACCTTGGCTGGCTGCCAGACGCCCACCCAGACACTCTTACTCCCCCTTGTCAAGAGGATGGGGAGAAAATAAGACAGAAAAGCTTGTGGTTTGAGATAAAAACAGGAAGATCACTTCAATCACCATCACAGACAAAACAGACTTGACTTTGGGGATACTAATTTAATTTATTGCCAGTTAAAACTAGAGAAGGATGGTGAGAAACAAAGTCATACAAAGCTCCTACCAGGTGCTTGCTCCAGTATGGGTTTTCCATGGGCTGCAGCGTGGATACCTGCCCCACTGTGGTCCTCCATGGGCTGCAGGGGGACAACCTGCTTCCCCATGGTCTTCGCCAAGGCCAGCAGGCAAACCTCTGCTCCACACCACCGCCTTGGCTGACAGGCTCAGCTCAGCCCTGTGGCAAGTCCGTTGGAGCCAGACTAAAATAAATAGCCACCATCCTGTGTCCTAACACACAATACAGTGCTGTTTTGCAAAGGAAGCATGCTTGCATATGTATAAAACGGAATGTGTATTCAGAAACATCAGCAAGGTATCTCATTACATATGTGCCTGGCCATATATTTGTCACATGTATATTACAAATAATATTGTTTTCAGCCAAGTATAGCTTACAAGTTAGCAACAGCCACAATTAAAATTAATGCTGGTCGTCTTTAAAACAGAAGGTGGAACAGGTTAACATGCTTATACTAAATCCAAAGTGGAAGAACACATAGGCCTTCTAACACATAATTATTTCTGGTTCTGCCTCCTATTTCAGTTGCAACCTTGATTTTAATATGGCATTATGTTAGTTATCTGTAAATCATGAGTTATTCCTGCAACTTAGGTGTTTCAAAGAGATGTCATCTGCAAAAGCAAAAAGTATAGCTAATACCTGGACACTTGCTAAAAAGCAGACATAATTGAAAAAGAAAAGTGATCAACATGAGCAGTTTTTCAAAGTCATCCTGATGAGTGTTCAGGTGGATTTTTTTATACCAGGGAGACCTTATGGCAGCCTTCCAGTACTTAAAGGGGGCTACAGGAATCATGGGGAGCGACTCTTTATCAGGGAGTGTAGTGATAAGATGAAGGGTAGTGGTTTTAAACTAAAAGAGGATAGATTTATATTAGATATAAGGAAGAAATTCTTTCCTGTGAGGGTGGTGAGATGCTGGAACCATTTGCCCAGAGAAGCTGTGGCTGCCCCCTCCTTGGAAGGGTTCAAGGCCAGGTTGGATGGGACTTTGAGCAACGTGGTCTAGTGGCAGTTGTCCCTGCCAGTGGTGGGGTGGTTGGAACCAGATGATCTTTAAGGTCCCTTTCAGCCCAAACCATTCTATGATTCTCTGACTTGGGAGTGAAAAATAGTTAAACAAAGAATCTTCATAGAGAAGCGAAGGAAGATGAAGGACTGGGTCTGTTGAGAAGTTGCATCTAGTTTTTACTTAAAGAAACTGTGTTACTTAAAGAAACTGTGTTGCTATTACGTAAACAGTGAGTAAACCTGACTTCTGTTAAAATGACTATATTTTTTTGGCCAGTTCTTGCTAGTATAATACAGGAGTGTAGTGTCTCAGTATCCGCTCATACTTCTGAAGTAGGGAGTTACTATTAAACCCTGTTAACCAGCTGGTAAACAGAGAAATGGTAAGTCAAAAAGCAAGTCGGACACAGAAACGTTTTGAGGGAAGGTTTTGTTTCAGCTTCCAGTACATCCTTTTCATTGTTGGAGTGAGATTAGAGACTTCTGATAAATGCCTAAAGTTAAATTAGTGAAATTGCCTATTGAGTGGAAAACTTTGTAATGTGTAATGAAGATTATTTTTCACTTTTTTTCAGGAGATAAATTGAGTCTTGACATTCCTGCTCAGTGCTTATAAATCTGATGTGAGTTTTAGAAGATTAAATGATTGACAGTTTACAATTATTTTTTTTAAAGTTACTTCCAAAACTATTTGAAACTTACTGTTAAGATTCACTTAAAGGCTGACAAAAGTGTGGTCTTCTGTAATGTTGCATAGTATAGCCCTGTAAATCACTGTTAACAGGGATAATGCTACTTCTTTCCATGATAAGATGCATGGGATTTTGGTTTAGTTACGTTTTGATTTTCCTAGGCACAGTAGTCATTGTAACATGGCTAGTTATAGTGAAACACTTTTATTATAGAAAACATTGCCTTTCAATGAAACCTTAAAATTAAGTAAAAGATGAGGAAGCCAAAACTGTTTGTATCTAGTGTTTGTGGGATTTTTGTTTTGTTTGGGTTGTGGGCTTGTTTGGTGGTTTTTTTGTTTGTTTGTTTGTTTGGTTTGGTTTGGTATTTTTTAAGTTTGGGGTTTTTTATTGCTTTCATTCTCACCTCCTGAAGGTATTATAAGTTAGTGGAATAGTTTAAGGGGCATAGTGATGCAACTGAATCTATAGAGTGGCCCTGAATGCTTCCAATAATTAAAAATTGAATTTGCATCTTTTCCATTGTAGGTTTCATAATAGCCCTTGTGCCTTTTTGTAGTACACAGTAATCTCTAATAAGAGTTCAAATAGGCCCAAATGGCAAGCAGGCTGTCTAGTTTGTCATATGGTCTTTTTTGCTGTTGCTTATTAAAATGGTACTTACCTAAATTCAATTTCTCTTGTTTACCTTTTTGAACATGTTTTAAATGCACATCTGATTTTAATAACATCTGGAAAATATGAAGGATTTTAAATCCCCTCAAATACAGGATTCTCAACCAATGAGGCCACGGCATGCTTTGCGTATACAAGTGTGCTCTTTCTGTATTGTGTACTTGTGCACAGGGGTGAAGAACACTTTTAAAGATGGTGCTTTGTGTGTATATTTTTGACTGCCTTATTTCACAGATCAGAATGAGTGAGGTTTTTTTTACTAGAAGTAGAATGAGTGAGGTTCTTCTACTAGAAGTAGATATATATATATAGATGACTTTCTCCCCCAAGCTATCCATTCTTTGTGTGAAAATAGAGGGACCAGGAGATGCTTAGAAGATATTATAATAATTTGTGTCTGAAATTTCAGGGCCTGTAATGAGATGCTGTTTTAATCTGCTACTTTTCCACTGCTATTTCTTAATCTCATTTGTGTGGCACAGAATAGATAAATACTTCTCTTCCCTCCTGCCGCTTTTCATTACAAAAATAAGCTTCTATTTATTTGTGCTTCCTTTTACATACTTGTAAATATCTTCAAAGCTGTCCCTATAATGTTTTTCATTCAAATTCTGTTTTTCTATTTTAAAAAACATATTTCTACTTAAATATCTTTTAATTTTAGTGACACTAATGCTGATTTTTATTAACAAGGGAAGAATTTCCTTATTTTTAAGCAGGATTTTCTGATTTGTGGAGCTTCTAAAATAATTGTACATCAACTCACTGGAAATGAGCCTAGTAAAATAAAATTTAAAATAGTTTAATTTGCACTATAACCATTAGTTATGTTCTCAATATAGTCTATTTGTTGTTGGATTAAGAAGATAGATTGAGTTTAGAAAGGGAAATGTTGATCTGTAAAGGCTAGTCAGGCACCTTTTTTTCCAGAGATGACTGTTTATTTGCTCAAATATGTGTAGGTACACCATCCTGCAAAATACCTCTGAAACCTGTTGTATCTAATTTGTTTCATTTATGAGATATATATGGAGAGATAAAACTGCCTGCAAGATGAGGGGAAAGGACCATATCTTCATGAGAAATGTTTCTTTAAGATACAGAACATAAATAACAGGAGTTGGTTATGTTATTACTGGAAGAGCTTTTTGGACACCTCAGATCAGATCTTGCAGTCTATGTAATCTGTATAAGGGGAAAGGTGGTGAATTTTTTTTTTTTTTTTTGTAAATATATTGTTAGTGTTCACTATTTGTTTTAGGATCATAGAACAGTCCAGGTTGGAAGGGACCTCAGAAGATCATATGGTCCAACCTTTCATGGGAAAAGGAGCCTAGATGAGATTATTTTAGCACCCTGTCCAGTTGTGTCTTGAAAACCTCCAGTGATGGGGACTCTGCCATGTCCCTGGGGAGGTTGTTCCAGTCATTGATGGTTCTTACTGTAAAAAAATTCTCTTATGTTGAGATGAAACCTCTTCTGGTGCAACTTTTACCCGTTACACCTTGTCTTCTCTGTGTGACTTCTTATGAAGAGAGCGCCTCCATCCTCTTTGTAGGCACCCTTTAAGTAGTGGAATACTGTGATGATGTCCCCCCTGAATGTTCTCCAGGGAGACAAGACCTAACTCCTTCAGTTTTCCCCCATAAGGCTGGTTCTCCAGCCCTTTGATCATCTTCATGGCCTTCCTTTGGACCCTTTCCAGTCTGTCCATGTCGTTTTTCAGTTGCAAAGTCCAGGTGCAGCCTGACAAGCACTAAATAGAGTGGGAAGATCACGTCCCTACTACTGTCAGTAATGTTCCTGCAGATGCAGCCTGGGATCCGATTTGCCTTCACTGCTGCAGCAGCGCACTGCTGACTCGTGTTCAGCATGTTGTCCACCAGGGCCCCCAGGTCCCTTTCAGCAAGGCTGCTCCCCAGCCACACAGATGCTTCTGAGAACAATTACTAGAAATGTAGACAAAATTGGTAATATAACATTCATTTTGCACTGTTATTCAATGTCTGATTTGTGTGAAGTTTATACAGCGAGAAATACTGGATTTTTGTTTTTTGTTTTGGTGGGAGTTTTTGGTAAAATATAGTGAAAATGCATAATTTTTAAAAAATCCGTATGTCTTTATTGTTCACTGGACAATTATATCATCTGTGCAATTTGTTCACTATAGCGTTTCTGTTTATTCCTGCTCAAAAACTGTCCATGCTTGTAGTTTGGCTTAAAAAATAAGATTGCCGTGTGCCACTAATAGAGTATGCTAAATAAATTTATCCTGATGCATAGTGTAATCATAATTATGGATGGAAAAGTTATTTGCAAATATGGTATGCATTAGTACAGCTTTCCTTTACTAGCTAATCACAGTTGTTATTTCTCTAACTGAATAAAATGACCACACTAGGAAAGCTGAGAAATTAAATATTAGCTTGAATATACCAGTTGAGTAAGTGAATAGGCTAAAATTATTTTTAATTGAGAAGTTTTTATGAACTGGTTTGAGTACAATTCTGTGGCTTTCATTATTTTAAAGTCTCCACATTTTTCCTGGGACTAGAATTATTTGAGGTAAGCGATTAATTATATGGGGAAGCTAGAGGAAAAGAAGTGAAAAACCTTCTTTTAATGCAAAATTGAATTAGTGCTGTAAAATAGAAAGAAAAAATAAAATAGAGTGCTGAAATATCAATTATAGAACACTCATGTTTTCAGTAAATAGAAACCAACCCAATGATGTCATTCTACCACCTTTTTCACATATATGGGAATGATGCTTGCTACCCACTTTTTTCCAAATATGCTCAACTGCACAAAGAAAGTGACAAATTGCTACTGAGATTTGTTATCTTAATTTGTCTGTAACAACTGAAATTGAGAAATACTTCATAAAGTCTTAGTGTGTGACTATTTGCTTATAGGACACTGCTCTACAAAAACCAAGGGAAGTTTTCAGGCTACCTACAGACTTGACAGCTTATGATAATCGTCTTTGTGCCTCCGTACATTTCTCATCTTCCACATGGGTTACCCTTTCTGATGGCACAGGAAGACTGTATCTAATTAAATCAGGCAAGCGTGGAAGCAGTGCATCTGAAAAGTGGGAGGTAAGTCTTGCAATAACATATTTAAGAATTGTGTATCTACCAAATAATTATTCTTCTTGCATTGTTATGATAAGTGAATGTATGTAAAGTAGTGAACAAATAAGCTTTAAACCATAACTCTGTATCACTGATACAGGATTGTGTTTAACGACTAAATTAATGATTTGTTTATGCACAAAATATCTAAAATTCAAGTGTTTGAACGGGTACGGCCTTTTGACTGAAGAATCTGTCTAAGTAAAAGTGAGTGTTTCTAAATAGGTGCTAAGCGCTTGTCTAGCTGAACTTTTTCTAAAAAAAATTTCCCCTTTCCCATCCCTATTTATATGTGTCTGTCTAGGATTTCCACACACCCTCATCTTTTATTGTTTGCTATTTCAACTGGCCTGTGGAATTTTTTTTTTTTAAATCTGAAATTATTGTTAACCAAGTTAAAAGCTGCTTTCATATTTAAATTTCTGTGACGTTTGTCTGTGCAGATGTAATTATGCTTGAAATATTCACCATTTAATTTGACCCATCCTAAAAATACATCCACAAAGACTAGAATAAAACTTAAACAAAACTGCTGATTAAAAAGCTTTGATAAGTAACCCTGAGGGCTACCTGCAGAGCAGGTATAATGTAAGTAATATTATTTCCACTTCCACTCTGGTAGGGGAAATCTTCATACTGTGCACTTAGCTCTGGAAAATTATTGGTGCCTAATATTTTTACTTAAAATTGTTGGTTGTAACTGAAGTATGGTTTTATGGTTTTTGTTACTAAATTCTTTACATAATTAATTATTTTAAAGGGCCTTGATAAGGAGCATTTTTTGTATCCGCATTGAAGTGATCTTACTACACTAATAATGGTATTGGTTATCCTACTTGGACACAACAAATGTAATTGGGTTGCATTCCTACCTGAGCTACTGTGAATCTCGTGGTCTGTACTTACTGCCTCTTTATTCATGAAAGACAAATCTGGTACAAAGCACCCACATTTTGTATCTATTTTCTTTATTAGAGGGCAGTTTTGTAAGCAATCAAGGAGGTTTTGGCAGGAGCTAAAGTATATGTCCTGAAGTAGAACACTTCAGCATGAAGGATTAGCTTCTTCCCCTACATCTTTGAGAGTTCAGTAAGTAGGAAATTGGTCATCCTGTTCTTTAGATGGTTGGTAGTAAATACCAACTGCTTTTTATTCCATTCTGTGTGAGAACTCTGATACATATATAAGTTACATTGGAATTGTGAGTGTGACAAACCCATGAGATTTATATGTTGAGGTTCTGTCATCATTTAAATTCAGTTTTTGAGTATTTAGAGCTCCCAGTGGTTTACAGTGGTGTTAACATCCCAGCCCCGTAAATCCTCAAACATTATGAGGTTTCAGTAACAACAGCTGTATTGAGCCTGGATTTATTCAGCTGCTGCAGCTTGAATTCCTTGTCATTTATTCTTTCTTCTTCAGATGTGAATGTTCTAGCAAATAAAGAATGTTTTATTTCTTCTTCTCTGCTGTTTGGATTAATTTTGTTTATCATCTTGGCGTTTTTGCTGAATGAGTACTTTTTTGAGAAAAGCTGAAATACACAGTTTCTAGAATAAAAACTTCCAGCTATAGGTACCAAGTGCTGAATGTCTCAAGCTACAAGACTTGTAGTCCTTCTGTATGAAATTATTTCATGTTTACAGTGGTGCTTATTAGCCTTTCAAAATGACAGTAATATTTATGTACTTTACCTAGTCTCGTCCAAATATCAAATGGACTTTTCCAAACCATGTACATAAAAGTTCAAAAACCTCTTACCCTAGCTCCTCCTAAACATGAATATTATACTCCTTCATTTAATTATAGGTTTTTATTTCTTATTCCCCTTCATGAAACTTTATAGAGAAGGAAAATTGAATCTCTTTGTAAAAATAGTAGCCAAGTAAAGAAAATTTCCCTCCCCTCAGTGCTGTTTGATGATTAAACATTGGCTGCAATGCAGTACACCTTTTTGTTGTCTTGTTTGCGCATGTCAAGACCTACAAAGATTTTCAGGACATTGGGGTGTCTAGGGAAGTAGTGAGGGACTTGGTTAAATGCCTACATTTTCACCTTGAGTGTGAGAGTATCTCCCCCAGCTGATAGGCTGTTTGTGGATCCTGTTCTGTCCATCAGCTGTTGTACCTCTACTTATTGCAGTAGTAAACAACCATAATGCAGACAGTTTTGTGGATCTTTGTGCTTTGTTTTAACAGGCCCTTATAATTATTTTATAATATAAACAATGATTAAAAAGCATTTCAAAACAGTGGCTCGATAGCCAAGGAATGAGGAACCAGAAATGTATGACATTTATAGATTCATATTGGCAGAGAGGTTTGTGGGAAGAAAACTGATTTGACAGTCACTGAAGCCTTTCACTGATAAGAAAGAGCAAGATTTCCAGTTTTAACTGACTTTACTACACTTTTGTCTTCTAGATTGTATTTAATGAAGAACTAGGAAGCCCATTTATTATAACACACAGTGTTTCATTTGTAAAATCTGATATGCATTCAGTAGCTGTGCTGTTGCTTAGGGTAGAAAAAGATGAATTGGACACAAAAGGAAGTGGATTTCATATTACCTTGGAATGGGTTACAGTTGCAGAAATAAGCAAAGAGGGTAAGTGTTGTACATTTATATTACTAATGAGCAATGTTTAAAAAAAAAAAAATCATGCTTTTATTCTTTGTCTTAGAAGTTGATTGTTCCTCACATTCTGGTATTTCCTTTCCCCAAAACATCAGCTTGGATTTTACATACATAATTTTTTCTTACGTTTTGAGATTAAGTTATTTGTTGTAGACCTAAATTCTGACAAACATTTGGAAAACAGGAAGAAGTAAAGTTTTATACATGTGTGGTTAAGGTAGTTAGAAAACAGGATAGAACTTTGTGACGTTTTGAAATGCAATTCCTGTTTAGCTTGGTCTTGTAAAATTGAGGTTATACAGAACTATTCCTAACTCATGCCTCTTGTACTTTTCAAAATCTTGTATAGCTGGACATGGGTTTTTATTTGGTTGTGTTTTGGGTTTTTTAGTTTGTTTGGCCTCTAACAGTTATGTGGGATTGGAATTAGTATGAGATAAATATAAGAACTGTGGCATAAAAAGTAAATACTGTATGTTCTAGGTTTTCCTACAATAAAAGAGTATTAAGTTAGTCAGTTAATTTTAGACCAACACATTAAAAACATATTAGTTAGTGTATTAGTACCTACTAATTAACTTACTATCCTAATAAAGTTTGACAAAGGGTAATTTATCTGTACAATATGGTCATATATACATACATTAAACATCATGATTTCCGTAAAGGATGCAAGACTCAATGCTCCAGTGTCTGATTTAAAGATGTGTGAATTAAATTAATTTACCTTTTTGGGAAGACTGTTTTACAGTCTCGTTCGTTATCTTCCAAAAAGTATTAATTTTGATACCAATAGAAACAGGTTCTTTAACTACTTGAACTAAAGGAGTTGATTGCATACTGTGATGTTACTATCCAAATGTTCCTCAGACTCCTACATTTATAGTATGGGTAGGAGAATAGATTAGACTAGACTACTTCACTTGGAAGGGACCTACAACGATCATCTAGTTCAACTGCCTGACCAATTCAGGGCTGACCAAAAGTTAAAGCATGTTATTAAGGGCATCTTCCAAATGCCTGTTAAACACTGACAGGCTTGGGGCATCAAACACCTGTCTAGGAAGCCTGTTCCAGAGTTTGACCACCCTCTTGGTAAAGAAATGTTTCCTAATGTCTAAACATCCTCTGGTGAAGTTTTGAACCTTTCCCATGTGTCTTGTCACTGGATACTAGGGAGAAGAGCTCAGCACCTCCCTCTCCACATCCCCTTCTCAGGAAGCTATAGAGAGCAATGAACTCAGCCTCCTTTTCTCCAAACTAGACAAACCCTGAATCCTCAGGTGTTCCTCATAGGACATTCCTTCCAGCCCTGTCACCAACTGTGTTTGCCCTCGGTGACTTTTTTCACATTATCTGCTGTTGAAACCTTGGGCGATGGAAGTATTTCTAAGAGAGCAAGAAAGCCATGTGAGATTGCCTTATGCTTTTGTAGCCAGCAGAACAAGAGAAACCTACCTCTGAACATTACTAATTCTATCTTATAAGAGCAATTAAATCAGTAATACTGCCGGTCTGGAACTGCAGACCATTGCCTAAAGAGAGCACTAACACAGACTTTTACTATATTTTGCAATACTGCATGTTTTCATAAAAAAATTATTTTCTATAGTGTGTTTTTTATAACTTCAGACAAAGGTTCATGGAATGAAACTGTTTGCATAAAATTGAATTTAAAAATCTTTCCAAAAATATTGCTAGTTCTCCAGCATTTCCAAAGAACAGACAAAATTTTTCTAATTACAGTCATCAGAGATGTAAGTAAAAAGATTCAAAGCAAACTTTAGTTACAAAGAGAGAAATAAGTTTTGATTTCTTTTAAATGAACATCTCACAAATCAGTGATGTATGAACCAATCTCAAAAGATAAAAGCTGTTTTGAGGAATTACAGTACTTTACATCCTCTTTCATCAGTAGGCAATTGCTATGCTTAACTTTTCTTGACCAGTGGGTGCAGTTTATTGAATCAGATTGTATTAAAAATAAGTAGTTAATCAACAAGCCATTTCTCAAATTACTGAAATCCGTGCTTCATCAAAGCGAAGCCTTAAAACATAGTTACATCTCCTGACACCAGCAACTGTGAGAGTCTCTGCCATGTCTGGTTGGCTAGACAGTGATCACTCCTACCACTATTGTATTACCAAAGAACAAAAAATGGAAGCATGAAAATAAATCTGCATGGAAGCAGTGGTTAGGTCTGTTCACATTTTGTGTGGTACTTCAGAGGGTTGTGAGAAAGGTATGCCCTTTCAAAGTTAGTGGTTTTCTTTAGTTAACTAATGTTTTGGGAATCTTCACTGTAAAAGCTTGAAATGAAGAACCACTTTGCTGCTTTATTAGAAAATGTTACGTGCTTTGCTTTCTTGTGACCTTCTTTACGAGAAAAATCATGTAATACGAACTTACTGAAAAGATCATAAAGACTTACTTAAAAAATTCAAAAGTGATGATGACTGAAAATAGGTTTGGTCACACAATGACAAGTTGTGAGGCTATAGAGCCTTTTAACAAGTGAGCAAATGCTGTAAGAGAGATGTACAAACAAATTTTATGTTTCAGTGCGCATTAAATTTGGTCAGTTAAATAATAGATCTTTTTGGCCATATATCTATGCCAAGGTCATTTGTTAGTCTTTTAAAACAGGTTACCCTCTTGATTGGATTCTTTTCACTGTATAGATCTCTTAGTCTGTCTCTAATTAGAATGGTTGAATCTTTTCAATTGATACCACCCACCCCCCAGCTCTGACCAGACTTTTTAGGAAAAAGAGGGTGGCTTTAATTAACACCACTAAGTACCAGAATTACATTATATTCTGGTTATTACTCTTCACTCCACTTCTTGCTTAGCAAACAAGATAACCAACTGAGAGGACTTAGACTTAAATTATGCCTGGTTTGTACATTACTGTCTGTATTCTTCTATGATTTCAATGTTTCTCTAAGCTTAACATTAAGGTCAAACAGGAACGCGTTTTGGAGTGCAAGAGTGGCATATATGATTTTTACCATTGTAATCTCATATAGTCTAATGCCTCTGCTAATGAGTTCCCAGTTTCTTTCAAGTAAAGATGTAGTTACATATACGGTGATTTCTTTTCATGAAAAGATGAAGCATAAATGTGAAAAACTAAATAATTCCTGGGGATAATTTTATCACCTGTGAGAATTTCATCAAGTTAATATTTTTTCTAAAAATCCATTTGTACCATCTGTTATTGTTCAGAAATTCATGAATTACTGAGGACACTGTGGAAGATTCTAATGGAAAAAGAGCAAAGGTTGTGCTAGAACCTGCCACCTTACTGGTAGTTTGAGTCATCAGCACTCACGTGTTGGGGAGCACAATAGGGAACCGCATGGTCCTTGACACCAGTAGTTAACATCTGGGACCTCCCTTTTAAAGGGCAGTGTATTACAAAAGTTGAGGAAGATGGGCATTTTCCATTATGAATAAACTGTTACCACTAGCTGTTTCATTGCTTCTCAAGTTTTGACAGAAGCTAAAAAAGTATTTGGAAAATTTGTTTGTATAGAAGCTGTGAGTTTGTTTTGTGAATTGCTAAACTAGCTGTGATCAACAAAGATATCATAAGAAAAAAGGGAAATATTAGATTAATTTTAGGGTCTACAAACTCATTGGAAAACAGAAGAGAAATTTCTTTTTAAAGTATGGTACTGTGATTTAACTGGTAGGATTACTTAGTATTTTTAAGTGTAATGAGATTCTCATATGATGACTTGTAGTCTTGAAAAATATTACTGCTAGGATTTCATTTTTTTTTTTAATTTTATAGGTGATCGTAGATATGAAGTCTTTAAAAGGAGAGTTTTACAAGGAAAATCAGTCCCCCATTATGCAGCAATAGAGCCAAGTGGGGATGGCCTAATGATTGTTTCCTACAAACCATTCAAATTTATTCAAGATGAAGATGACAAATTAGAAGAAAATAACAATACAGAAGCAACAAATGAAAAGAAAGGTAAGACTTGTCTGGCAGATTACGATAGGCTGCTCTCTCTTTTGGCTCCGAAAATAGCTTGCCAGTTTAGCATCTATTTGGAAAATCTAGCAATAAATATTTGTCTTAATATCTATCTTCCAGATTTATTTTTTTTAAAGACAGATTCACTGTTTTTTGTTGTTTGTTTTCAACTTGGGAAGTTGTATTGTCCATAAACCTACATGAGAAGCTTTTCTGAATAGGAGATAGTTAAAGAATTTTGTTATCCTAAGGAAAAGACTATTTTGCAAACAGAACTATACTAAGTATTTGCTAGTAGTTGGATTGCTAAAGTAACAACTAAATTTGGGCATCTGGCTGAAGTACTCAAATTAAGAAGCCAGTCTTCCTGGATGAGAGGGGCCAGTGTGGCACCTATTGACTCCCCCAGATAGTTGTTCATCAGAAAGCTCTCTGATATGTAATTTACTCCTGCTTTTCTAAATTAAAAAACAAACAAACAAACCAAACCAAACCAAACAAACAAACAGAAAAACAAACAAACAAACAAACAAACAAAAAAAACAACAAAGACAAACCAAACCCCAAAACCAAACTTTTCCTTTTTTGAAGAATGAGAATCCTGTAAAAGGTTACCTTATTTCCACTGGGAAAGCAGTTCAGAAAAAATAATGAATTTCAACAGAAGGTATCCGTACTTTTTTTGCTTTAAGATCAAGATAAAACTAAGTATGTAAAAACCAATTAATAAAACTGTTTAATCTTAAATATCACTTATCTCTGTGATATATATGTTTATGTAGTTTTACTGTATTATTTCAGATTTTATTTTTGCTTCTGAATATGAGGCATTGGTTAATGAACCAATCCTAACTGAATTATACTAGCACAATCTTTATCAATGGTGCAGAAATTTGTTTGGGAAACAATACAAAAATATTAATTTTCTGGGATGTATTAAAGTTACACACAGTGATAACAGACTTTTAATATCAGATACAATCTGTGTCAAGGTTTTGAATTTTGAAGGCTGTCATATCTCGGATGCTGATGGTTTCTGGGAAGTATATTTGTAGCACCCATGAGTGATCAGTTGCAAACAGGAAACTCGTGGTAATGGGCAGCAGTGTAAGAGTCCTTCCAGAATCACAGTTGCTGATATGAACCTTAGATCAAGGAAATCTTGTACTGTGTTGTGAGAACAGTCAGTCAAAAAATTTTCACATCTCTGAATGGCATATACTTCAGAGCATGAAGTAGCTTGTCAATACCTCTGCACCTGAAGTCTCTTCAACCAACTTATTGATCATTCATGTTTCAGTGTATTTAAGTACATTTTGGTTATTAATTTTGTAATGCTACAATAAACTTAAAGTTATAGTTAATGCTCATTGTATAACTCTATCAGCATATTTGAATATAGATATGAATGTAAATTGCTTCCCAGATGAGGGACACAAATTAACTTGGTTGCTAAAAAAATGTTTCTTCATTTTATAATCAGAATACATATTATTCTGTACATATTACATACTATATGTAAATTGTTCAGAGTAGAAGTTAATTTTCACTCTTCCACAAACTTTCATTCCGTATCTCCCAGCCTTGCATGCTGTAGAATCACGGACAGCATTTGTAATCTAGTTTCTATTTTTTGCATGTTTCCAATTGTAGACCCTCTCTATTACTGGCAGCAGACTGAAGATGATGTGACAATAACAGTTCACATTCCTCAAGACATCACTAAGGATGACATAAAAGTACGCTTTTCCCCTGATAACATATGTGTTACACTGAAAGACCAGCCTCCTTTGATGGAAGGAAAACTCTATTCATCTGTGGACCATGAAAGCTGCACATGGATAATTAGAGACAACAAAAGGTGTTGTATATGGCTTTTAGTTTTCCTATCAATAGGAATTGATTTCAAAGTGTATACCATATCTGACTTCTGGCCTCTCTGGGAGTTCACTCATTTAATATTACACTCTGCATCCCTCTCTACAAGAATCTATCTCCTCTGCTGAAAATAGTTCACTGGCTTTTGCAATTCTGTCTCACAATACTGTTTCTTAAGCTAATCGTGCAAGTAATCCCATCCTCTCACAGTTACTTGCTTATAAGCTATGTGTCCAGCCTTTTTCTACAACAACATAGAACAGCCTTTCCAAAATAATAAATCATTTTATTTCGGAGAAAAGGCATTATGTATAGCTGTCTGTACTGACAGCTAAACCTGTATCAGAGGAGGAAATCAAGTGTTTCTACTACTGAGCTGTGAAGCAGTCCTTTGCAGCGTTAAGGACACATTGATGCTCATAATGTTAACCTCCTCACACTGTTTTCACATGCTTTGCCTGTGTTTATTGGCAGCCTGAGTTAATGTCCTCTTCTAATGGTGTCAGCTGCCTTTCTAAAACCATATTTGGTGATGTGAGCTACTGGTCATTCATGTCTGTATGACTACCTGTGGTTCTTTATTCTCTTTGAGAATAATCTTGTCCATTCACTTCTAATTGATCACAGTGGAAAAGTGAATAGATGAACTGCTAAATAAGTTTCATAAAGATAGTGTATCATGTAGGTATGAAACTTTGCTAATAAATTCAGTAAGTAATTTCAGTAATACTTATTTTTCCAAATAGCCAGAAAACCCCCCAGGTATCAAAATGTTAAACATAGCTTTGTAAGCAGAGCAAACTCTTTTTTTTTTTTTTTCCCCCACTAAATTTTAGGACTGATTAGCCTGGATTTATCCTGTTGTTTGTGTTAATAATTTCTCTTCTACTTCAGCTTTCCACAAACAGAAGCATTTTTTTGTAGTAATGTAACACAAGTTCTTCAGGTTTAACTTATAAATTCCTTATTATATTTTCCAAATCCATTGTACATTATGTACATGATATAAAATTAATCTCTGTGATCTTAACATGCTGTAGACCTCATATAAAAATGTTCATAGTTTTGAGAAGTGAATTTTGGGTGTCTGTCTTTCTGAAATAAAACACAAAAGAATGGAGAGGGGAATTAAAAAAGAATTCAGAGGTCCCTAAACCATATTCAGATTTACTTTTTTTTTTTTTTTTTTAATTTCAAAACCTGTTTTAGAATGTTATTTCTCTGGTAGAGAACTGCAACCTAATTTTGGACACCTAATTTTGCTCTCTATTTAGACTTTATATCGTTAGTAGAGCCCTAAAATGATGTTATTGACAAGTTGTGTTCAACCATTGTTTTAGGGTTTTTTATGGGTGCAAATTGTCTACAACATTTGCATTTGCATCAATAAAAATGCTTCGTATCTGGAGGGTGTCATAAGTATTCAGATTTACTTCCACATGCATTTCTGCACATATAAAAGGGAGTGGGAAATCCCTGCATATTTGGAAATGTACCCTTCTGAGTTTTCTGTTTGAGACTTGAAGCTAAAAGCTTGTGTTATAAGCTGCTTTCATAGTTGCAGTTAACAGGTGCAGCGAACACTTATATGCACCATTTTGTCCTACCTTGTAGGACGCGAACTGAGTGATGTTGAATGCTTAAATACTGCTAAACATACTCCGGTTAAACCTTCCACTTTCAAGAGGGATTGAAAGTCTTTGCTCACGTTTTGCAGTTGTACTTCCCCTTGTGCTACCTGATCAGAACAGCTAGAACTGAAGCACTATCTAAATAGTTCAGAGTAAGATTTGAGTCGTAATGAATGAAATGCAGTATGTGCATTACAGAAAACAAGTAGTTGATCCACACTTTAATGATCTTGTTCTTCTTTGTACCCTAAGCCCATATTACCTGTAAAAATACCTTGGAATTTTTATAGCTTCTCCTGTCAGTTGCACTGCTGGGTTTCTCTGTGTCTGCTTGAGGGAGGTAAGTTTGAAAGTCTGAAACCAACTAAACATTTTCTGCTCTTAAGAGCTTTGTGATCATGCTTCTGAACTTCGAAAAGCTCATACACTTTACACTCTTTACCCAGCACATTGTTTGTTTAACCTAGGAGTGTGTTTCATTATTTAGAAGTCTCATTAGTCTCTTAAATGTTCAAGTAGGGATTTGTGTATAAGTCCACAGCTATCAGATGTTGATATGTATAGTCCTATTGCAAGATAGAGTTGTCCAGGTTCTTCAGGTATTCTTTTTGTAATATCTGTGAATCTAGACAACCAAATGTTTCTTTGCTACAGGTAAAGTATTCTAACCAGTGCCATATATATATTTGGTAGTTATTGTAGCCTTAGTTACTATCACAGATATTATAATTAATGCATAATCACAAAAAGAGTTCAGAGTAGTAGGAATGTCCACACTTAAATCAGTTTGTTTTCAGTGCCTGTTACAGTATTAAATTTGTGAGGTTTCTTTTTTTTTTTTTTTTTCCTTAAACTTGTTAGAGGCCATATTTGCAGTACTGGGCTACAGGATGAGAAGTTAATCTTTTTTTATGTGGCTACCTCTGGTACTCCTTTTAAAATATAGAAGATACTTGGATAGGTAAGGTATTTGTGTTGATATGTTCACTTCAACCAAAAGACTGTGAGCTGCAGCTGTAATGTGTTGCTTTGTCAGAGTTCAATAATCTCTGACCAGGTTCTTTTAAATACTCCACACATGGAGGGTGTAATGATCAAATTTACTTATTTGAAGACAGTTGATATTACACAGGGTTTCTGCATTTCTGATTTAACGGAGTGATACAAAATACACTGAAAACTCAACACAAATGTAAGTTACAGTTAGCAAAATACAGCAATTGGAGCGCACGGTTTAGTCAGCATACCGATGTGATTCCCATTACCAGTCTCTATAATATGCTCACCATCACAATGCTGGGCATCCCTGCTTTCCAGGAAGGAATATGTGGGTCAAAGCCAGCTCCAGCCCATTGCTCTCTTCCAAATTCTGTATTTAGTTGTCTAGTTTTCATACTCTGCCTAGGCCAAGCCACATATTCACTCCCCCCATGCTGGTCTAACTCACTCAGGGAGATATTCACACTCTTTTAATGGCCTTAAGGAGAAAAACATTTACACCACCAGTTGACCCACTCAACTGTTGATAGCTGTTTATATAAGACAAACACCACCCTTTCTGTTGAGATAAAGTCAGCTTCTTTGCATTATTCCCTGAGCACCATGGGCACATCCCCATGCCCAGCTCTACCAGGGATCTTCCATTTTAGGGGCTTGTTCAATGAGTTCCCACCTCTAAGTCTGTCACAAGCTCTGTGACATGTAACACTGGTTGCAGACGGGAAGCACCTTGTGTTGATCATTCTGTAGATGCAGAACCATAGGCTAAGTCCTGAGCCAAATAAATTATTTAAACTTAAGAGAGCGTGCGGGAAAAGGATACACGGGCTGATCAGGGACAGGGAGTGCAAGGAACTAAGTCAGTAAGTAAAACTATGTTTCAAGTTTCATTGTTCAGATATGGTTCATGATGGAATTTCTCTTGGATTTTCCAACAAGTATAAGAAAATCAACAAGGTCTGTCAGTATATAATGCATATTTGGACATTTACTGCTTTTGCTCTCTCCTAGGATAAAGTAATGAGCCACTATTTCTTGAAACAAGCAGGTTTGGTTAAGTGGTTGCTTAAAGAGTAATTTCCGTATATGGTGTCATCATGTGAAAAAATATAAGAAGAAAGGAGTTGTTTCTGTGGAAATAGAGGTATTTCATTTAAATAAGATAAAAATTAATTTTTCTCACTGGGAAAGTTTGGTACTCTGTGATAAAGGACATAAATTTATCAAAATATAAACTTGCCTATATCACTAAGCATATTTGTCTTACCCAAATCAAAACCAAATCCAAAGCATATCATTACACAAGCTATTATGAAGAAAATTAACTCTGTCCCAGCCAAAGCCAGTACATGAGTGCAACAAAAGTACTTAAATCTATTTACTAGATTTAAGGATCAGGAATTTCTTTGGTTAAGAATAACTCTGCCTTAGAGTTCCTGATGTATTAATGACAACAGTATGCCTCTTGAACATGGGAGAGGGGTGAGGGAAATAGATTAGTTGTGTTCATTTCCAAGGCATTTTGAAATGTCTTCTGTTCTCTTCTTGGACTCTTCTTTTCTAATACCAATCATTAATATCCAGTATAGTTTTACTTTGAAGCACTATGGGTTCTGAAAAATATTGAGATAAATATCAGATAACAGTATTTGCTACTTTCATTACAGTCCCTTTTGCATTTCCATAAATTAAACTTATTAATGAAAACTTTGAGTTCTTAGTTACAGACTTCTTTACTTTTTGAGCTTTCTTTGATTAACAGTCACCAAATTCTGAGAAAAAATGTACAGGTGTTAGAAGAAAATTACAATAATCTAGTAGTGTAGAGGTGGTTCTTGCTGTGCATCTGGCAATAAAATACGATTGTGCTGTAGTTAGTGATTTCTTCCGAAGAAAAATTGCTCCTTTGACCATGCATATTTCTTGGAAATCTTGTTTTTGACTCCAGCAATTCAAAAGTCAAGTTTCAGTGGTAAAACTTTGTAAAAGAATCTTTCAGTCTGTCTTACCTTTGCTTTATAATCAGTGCTCCTTTAGGTTTTTTTTCCCTTTTTGCTGTAGATTTATTACTGGTTTTACAGTTTAGTTATTCTGGATGCAATATATTATAATAAAGGTAATCATGCAATAGGAAAATTGCAATTTATTTTTTAGCAGGTAGAGCCTTTGAATAGGGCGGGTGGTTTTATTGATACCCCTCACTTTTCAATATTTAATACCTGTTTTATGAGAGTGTATGCATGTCAGTTTTCTGTCTCAGAGTCCCAGTTCAGGAATTTATTTCTGCATATGTGAAGCTTACTGATATGAAAAAAAAAAAAAAAAAGTGACTTTTTGTGTAATTCGGATCTGTCCTTGGGTGTCCATTAGGTATTTTTGGTCCACAGCTTTCTGCAGTTTCCAATTTAGTTGCCTGTGAGAGCCTTTGAGATGCACCAACTTTAATCCCATAAACCTGAACGAGCATGCAGTAAGTGGGGAGAATACAGACTTACTTCAGTGGCACACTAATGTTCCCAGCCATAATGTTATGGAAAGTATAGCCATCTAAGGTCAGATTTTGAGAGGACTCCATGGAAAATAGACTTTATATTAACCATAGCTTTCTGACACCATGAAGTCTGAGTTTCAAGTAGAAAAAAGGGAAAAAAAGTTATTACAGTTTCAAATTGCAACTTGCAAATACATATATTTTCACTACCATTCCCCACATGTGGAAATTGGGGAATAGACTGTTAAATGTTTGAGATACTGTACTTATGATAGTTTTGCATATTGCTTTGTATGTAGTACTATGGCAGAAGTTATTCTTGCCATTATAATAGTTTAAAATACAAAGTGAAAAAAGGTATGGTAGAGGTAATACTGACTTCTGTGTGTTTGGACAAGCTTGATGTCAGTATTTTTCATTAATGCCTTGTTTAAACTTCTATGTGAAGTGTACAGGTGTATATACCTTGTGAGATTTGGTTATAATAAGAAAACTAGTGTGACATTTTCTGCAAGACATTCCCAGTTAAAATTTTCTTACATTTCTCTTGATAGTCATATGGTTTAGTTTTAGGTAGTCCTTGAGGAGCAGGGAGTTGAACTTGGTGATCCTTATGGGTTCCTTCCAATATGAGATATTTTATGATTTTCCTTCAGTTTCCCTCATCAAAAATCTTGGCTTTTTCCCAAAAGGTTCATTGTAAAAGGTAGTTATTCTCCAGAAGAATTAAATAGAGGGACTAATGTTTGTGTATAGATTATACTATTACTACATACTAAAATGTGACTTTTCAGTCATTGATTATTAGATATCATAGTGAAAAATAGCTGAGTAACTCATTTTTTTTATTACTCAATTAAGTGAGCTATATTGCATGAACATCAGACTTGTATTTTAATGGGAACTAGTAATTGCACATTTCTGTGTAATGTTGCACTCTGTTCATAATGTTGCTACTGCAATACCACTTTAAATCTGTCGATTAAAAGACTAAAACTTGCTTCAAGTGTCTTTTATAAAAGTATGCTATTTCTGTTATCAATGTAATTGCTTCAGAAACAGATTCAGAGTTCACCGAATAGTTACTGCTATGATGCAGTAGTTAGTAACTTAGGTTTTCCTGTTCTTTCAGGTAAAAGACTGTCATTGTAGACCCCATAAGTGTATCTACAAAGTGAATATAATAAAACTAACTCATTTCATCGTTATATGCATATGTTGGTCTAACGCAGTAATTAAATGGAATTACTGTGTTGGTGCTAAGTCTCTAGTTTCCTATTTATTTAGTTATTCCTAATGTTTACACTGGGTTCTCTTAATTTTGTTTGTTTTGTTTTGTTTTGTTTTACAGGTTACAGAAATCGTACCTTTTCTGAGATAGTATTTTAGGTACACAATGTAGATAATTAACTGTTGTAGTATTTCTGATGTCTATAAAATACAAATATTTTTGTTCTAGTTGTTATATAAATGTAGTGAACACTTAAGAAGCCCTACTGAGTACTTCTTAGGTTTCAAATAAACATCTGTAGTAAAATTCTGTCACTCTTAATATATTTCTTTACAGGTGATCTCCTGTAGTATTTAAAAAATTTTAATAAGACTGCTTCAGGGGAAACTGCATTTACATTGAAAACTCTGGGTACTTTTACATGAATACGTTCTCTTTTAGAAATTGTGTCCTTGGTCTGTTTTTCTTCAAAATATTTTTCATTAGCATAGTTTATTTTATAAATTGAATGCTAATGTTTTCTGTTATGTGATTTTCATTATTCTGTTTGAAGAGAAGAAGTGCTGAAGTCTACATTTACAGCTTTTTGACTAGTGTGAGAAATTGATGCAGTGTTTTCATGTACTACTCTGTCTTCTGTTTGCATTTTAGTTTGGAAGTTTCTCTAATTAAGAAAAATGAGGGACCCCGTTGGCCAGAGCTAATAATTGGTGACACACGAGGGGAATTCATTATGGACCCTTCTCAATGCTCTGAAATAAATGAAAGCCTGATGCATCTTACCTCTGAAATAATGGTAAGGAATTGAAAATAAAACATTTAAAATTCTTGTACGTTTGCATGTTGTCTTTGCCTGATATCCTAATTTGCACTTCATTGATATAGCTCATCTGTTCATTTATTATTCAGAATTCTAACTCTACATTAATTTTTAACTTAAGCTGTTAAACTGATAGCACTAGAGTTGTGAATATACTTTCAGCAGTAATATCATCTTCATGGAGGACTGAATTTAGCTTACCTGATAGCATCTGTGCACTAAAACAGAAGTCTGATTTAACACTGAACATAAATTCTGCTCCCACAACCTATGATGTGGAGTTGTTTGAAAGCAGTTGATTTAAGTAATTTTAAATCTTTTTTATCAGTAGGTTAGCAACACTTTTATACCGTCTTCCTAGGAATGCTGTACTTGACTTATATACTGTGAGTGTAAATGACATTTTAAAAAGGAAAATTTAGGAAAGCATAAGCATGTCTCATGAACTTTATGGCATTATTATTACACATGGAGTCTACTCAAAACAAAACAAAATGTAATTTTTAACTGCTATTTGTTTAATACTTCCCCTTTTGGTTTAATTAGAAAATGGCATCTCATATAAAACTTGTGAAGTGTGATTCCCTATGGGTCTTGATATATTAGTTTTGGATTATTACTTTTTTTATAAGGCTGAAAAATGTTATTAAAATAAATTCTGTTTAGTGCTCTAAATTGATTTCTTTCCTTTCACCCTCACTATCTGCGGGCAAGATACTGTAGTATACCTTTTGACCATAGAGTTATTGGGAACTTCAAATTTCTTTTCTTTTGTAACTCATACTGAGTTTAACATGATTTGATTTTATTTTTCCAGCTTGTGTGCAATAAGGATCATGTAAAAAAAAAAAAATCTTTCATTAGGTAATTGTTCATTTAAATAAATGTTGCATATTTTGTTATACTGCAACTCTAACTACATATGTATAATAAAGGCACAGATTATTTTTGGTTCTCTCAGTTGCTTATGGAAATGATGTTTACCTGGGAGGTTTCTTAAAAGCCACCTGATGAAACAGTAAACCAGAGGCCATCAGGAATGCTTGATAGAGGAGAGTGGAACTTCAAAGTCTATCCTATAAAGAGGCAGATACCCTGTTTTCAGTCTTGTGTGGTATATTAAGCCTACAGTATGATAACATCTAATTTTCCTGGTTTCTGTCATTTAGGGATGTTTTATTTGTTCTATCTTCATTTTTATTTTCTTTAAACTTAAATTGTCTTAGCAATTAAAAAAAAATTATTGGGCTGATTTCCTTTACTTTGTGGACTGAACCATATGAAAGTTGTTACATCAGCTGAAGTGGATGAAGGAATGAGCACAAGAGCTCAAGAACTCATGCCTGTCAGATGAATCAAGTCAGTGCCCTGTCTAATCTTTCCATACACATTCTGTTTGGCCTCAGATTTCAGCTTATATTAGTTATCAAGATGGTGGTTTTTTTGTGCAAGAAGCAACATTAATTCGTACTTAAAGAGGAAGTGTCTGTTCTTGCCTTCTGTTGAATAGAGGTCCTTTACAGTGATCATTAAATTAGGTCTTTAAATATATCCCAAAGGTATCATAGCTTGGTGGTTTTGAAAATTATCCAAGGAAGATGTCATTAGCAGAAGCTGTTTCTGTATAGAGCAGTGTCATATTTTGCTCTCAAATTAGTAGTAAAAGTGACAGTTTTTGCTTTCTTTGCCTTGTGGGATGTGAAAAAATACATGTACATTTTTTCTAGGTTTGAATGCATTAAAAATATGCATAACAACATTATTAATTTTAAATAATTATTGGCAAAGCTGAAAAGAGACATGTATTTAGAGCTATTTGCAAAATGAAGTAATCCATTTTTTAATAGCATTTTTTAATAACAATTCCAATAACAATCTAAAAGAAGCTTACACTAATGTAAATTTACTAAACCTGCATAGGTTTTCAGGATTGTATACTTTTGTTACTTGCAGAAGGTAAGTTATTGTCCATGTTTTAGTGGCTTTATGTATCTTTACTTAAACTGAAAGGGATTTTGTTTTACCTAACACTCATGCTATCCTCCACAACAGTTATGGTTCTGTTCATTTTAAATAAGTACATAATAGCTTGATGTTGATCGGTGTAGTTGATTGTCTTTTTATTTCAGAATCCAGACCCTGAAAAGGAAAACCCACCTTGTAATGCTCAAGAATTAGAAGAATGCGATGCATTTCTTGAAGATAGTGCAAGCTTGTGCAGATTTGATGGTGATACCTTGAAGGTCACTCATGTAGTAAGTGCTGCAAAATTACAGAAATATTTTAAAGCATTTTTTAATGATATGCAAGTTGAATTCTATTATCAGAACAAAAATCTGTGCAAACTCTTGAAACCACATAAATTTCTTCAATAATGTAAAATCACAAGAGCAACAGAAATTATGAACCAATATGTGTTCTTCAATATCATTTTAATGTAAAAACAAGGCTCCTTTTAATCTGATTTTAAAAATATATACACTTCTACAAGTAAGTCGTTTGGAAAAGCAAAGTTATGTCAGAATAATTCTAAGAAAGGGATCTTTTTCAGTGGCATAAAATTCTTCTAGATTCCTTAGCTAGAATTTTTCTCAGGAACTTTTCAGGTAGCCTGGGAAGAAGTTGACTATTTTTACTGAGGAGCTGGAGTGTAGATCACTTTATGATACTTGTTTGTCAGTCGCACTGGAAATAACTGAGTGTAAGCAAAATGCTTTGACAGGAGGTTTGATCTGGGTTGTAAGCATCCTTGACTAACAGTAGGTTAGGACTTGATCTGGCCCATTGGCTAAAGCAGGAAACAAAATAATCATATGAAAGTATCACAGGTAAGGTTGTCATGGGGTTTTTTTAGGGGTTGGATTTTTTTTTTCAGGATGTCTCTACTAAGCTTGTAATAAACATTGGCATTGCACATCATCACTACCTTGTGTCACACAAAGTACATATAGGACAACCTGGTTTGTACAGAAAATATCATAGTTACAGGGTAGGATTTTTAATTGGTTCATAATTTCCCATTTCCTCAGAAAAGCTCTTGAAGAAGTCTTAAGTCTGTGTCTTACAGATCTTAATTTGCTTGTTTGTTTTTTTGTTGTTTTTTTTTGTTTGTTTGTTTGTTTTGGTTTGGGTTTTTTTTGTTTTGTTTTTTTTTAAAGTTATCTTTTTTGCTTTGGCAGTACAGATATATATGTATATGTCTGTATATATATATGTATGCTTGTACATGCATATGGGCTGCCAAAGAAAAAAAGATTAATTTTAAAGGCTAGCCTGCACCACCAAGGAAGCAGTATGTTTCATGGATGCAATGTGATAGGTAACATTTGTCAGAAGACAATAGCTGTAATTGGTAGGAGGACATTTTATAACAACTCAGTTCAAATGGATTTTAGCTATTCAGTGATGCTTGATAAGAGAACAAGCGATAGCAGGCATAAGTAGAAACAAGAGGTTCAAACCGGATGGAAGGAAAAACTTTTACACCATGATGGTAGCATGGATCAGGTTGTCAAGTAAGGTTGTGCAGCTGCTGTCCTTGTGGTTTGCAAGACCAGACTGGATAAAGTTTTGAATAGCTTAGCCTAAACTATTGCGTCTTGCCCTGAACGGTAAGAAGTTTGTGCCCCAAGACATTTCACAAACCAGGAGGAACATGGTATCACGGGATCAAGAAAGGCAGATCTGATGTATACTGCTTTCTAGCAGGCATCAAGACATTGTGGAACAAGTTTGAACTCCAGAGTGTTTGTAAAGAGCTCTTACAAATGTGTGGTATAAAAGTAGTCCAAAGGCGAATGTATTTAAAGCGTTATGGTCAAAGGTCAGTTACTGTGGGTAGGAAATTTTCATGCATGTATAACCTGCTCTAGCTGGAGCTGCTTTGGTCAGGGAGGATTGGACTAGAATACCTCCAGAAGTCCCTTCCAACCTCAGCTATGTGATCTTCTGTCTTTGCTTCTTGTCGGAGGACATAAGAACATGAGTATTTCAGTAGATTTTTTTTCACTATACAGGAAAATATTTTAACTTTGATTTAGTTGTTCTTTCAAATTGTTTGGGTTTTTTTTTTGTTAGCAGTTCAGGGGCTTATTCCTTAAGAAGTGTGGCTGATAAAGCTTTTCACCTTTGTTGTAAACTACCATCAGGAGTATACGGTTGTATATGTCTTTTTGCTCTTAAGTTGGAGAGAACACTGTGGAATATGTGTCCAGGATCTTAGAGAATTTAAGACCATGAAATATTTATATAGGAACATTTCCCACCTTGAGTCATAATTTAAGGATATAAAACATTGATGATGTAATTATATGTGTTTCGTAAAGACACTTGATTCTATTTTTCTTGACATTTTCTAATGCATTTCAATGGCAATGATCCAGCTGAAATAAATAGGTTTGACAGCTGCCAATCTTTGTCAAATATATTGCTATACTGGCCTGTTCTTGTGTGGCAAAATTACATTTCTCTCCTCTAGTTCAAATGCAGTTATTCAGTTTCTCCTGTAGAGAAATATTTGCTTTATTAATAGCAATTCTTTAAGTTAAGTTAATGCTGGCCTGAATTTGAGTGTGTTGTGTTTTCAAGCCATCAAAAATTAGAGATGCATGATGGACAACTTTTTTTGCTGTGGAAGGGGAGGGGCTTTGTCAAGTGAAGTATGGTTTACCTAAAAACACTAACTTATTTTTGGAACTGGCTGCAGTAGCACTTACAACATAAAGTTTTCCTTCTGTGTTATGTAGATTAATCTGTATACTACCATATGCTTGAGTTCTGTATTATACATCCTGTTAAAACCAATTGCAGACATACGTATGACAAAATGCACAGAAATTAGTAGTTGAAAAAATGTTGAAAGGTGCCTGAAGTACAAAGTGGTGCTGTGTGCTTGCAGTGGGGAAACCCAGGCATCCTAATACTTAGCAAAATTGGGGTGCCTTAAGGCAAGAGACACTACTTGCATTTTAGATACAAAAGAAGAGAGTATTCCCAGTGATTTGTGGAGCAAGGAAAAAATAGGAAATGGACTACATAAACATAGGTCTTTGAATAGCTGATTGCAGTAGGTAATTTCAGAGAGCAGTTGATCTGTGGCAGGAGACTTTTTAGGTCAATAGGTGAATTATGCAAACACAACAGAAGAACTTCCGTTCATTTTCTACTAGCTGACATACAAGGTCACTCCTTCCTTGCTCATATACCTATATCGAAGCATGACTCTGCTTTCTCAGTAGGTGCCAGAATGACCTCTTAACTAAAATTGCATGTCATTCTGTGAAATGCATCATGCTTACATCTGAGCTACAGGAGGGTGAAGCGCATCTCATGTATTTGTGCATGCCCGTTGGAGTAGGGATGCTGTAGTGGTGATAGACAGGAGAAGAGGTAAGGTCTTCCTCAAGAGTTTTACTGGTTCTGAATGCTTTGCCTGAATAACTGCTTCAGGTTGAATGGTTCCTTATTGCAGTTCAGTTTCTTATGTTCTGACAACACTCAAAACTTTTTTTGCATTTGGTCTGTCTATCCAAGTGATCTGTATCTTTGTTGCATGTGAAACAGGCAACTAACCCAGCTTAAATAGCATTTTTTGGGTTTTTCAAAACACTAAATTACTTCTGTGGCAAAAGTAGTAAAAAATTACCTTGCTGAGTTACTGTACATTTAAAATAGTTCTCTACATGTTCCACAAACTTACTGAAACCTGGAAAAAAAACATAATTCCTTTAGTCTGTTCAAAAGTGTGATGTGAAAATTAACAATAGCTAAGTTACATGACACTTGTACTTACCATATATGTAGTAACGTTGTTAGGACACATGCAGTTTTAAATTGCATGTTGGGTGTTTTGATTTTTTTACTTAACTACAGATGTTTGTTTTTATTAAAACCAAAAACAATGTTTGTGAAACTATCACATTTCTGACACAGTACTTCTGAAAGGATTTTTTTTTTTTTCATTTTGGTATGTGCTTTACTATGTAAGGGATTTACAAAATACTTAGTGCTTGACCCTTAAAAATTTGCATAGATGCTGTTAAATGACATGTACAAGTTACTCAGTGCTGTGTGCTATAAGGCTTACTTGTCATATGTAAATAATTTATATACTGTTGTACCTTTGGCTGAAAAGGGTGATGGCTGGTGACTTCAAACCTATTTTTGTGCTAACGTTAGGATTTTACTGTGATGTTGTAAACATTTGTGCAGTTTTTTGGTTCTCTATGAAACTACTCCCTCAGTTCAAAGAAGTTTCATAAGAGTTGATTCGTCATAGCCTGACCCTCTCCCTTAGCTAAGGGACTGATGCATCTCAAAGATGCTTAATTTCTGTCAGTTGAGATATAACAATAAGAAGGAGGAGACACCTACACATGGTGCCTCAGCCTGTAGAGCTGTATTGGGTGTTCATACCCAGGTGTTGAGAGCAGGGGGGCTGCAAGAAGAGGCTGGGGCTGCCCTGTGCCAGACACAGCTGGTTCCAAAGAGCTCCAGTTGAACCACTGTAGGACACAGCTGAACTGATAGGGGATGCTAGTGGCCCCTCAGGGAAAACATATTTAAGAAGGGGTAAAATATGCTGTGCAGCAGCAGTGAGAGGGAGGAGTGAGAAAAATGAGACAGAAACAGCACTGCAAACACCCAAGATCAGTGAAGAAGGAGAGAGAAGAGGTGCTCTGGGTGCCAGAGCAGAGCTTCCCCAGCAGCACATGGAGAAGACCATGGTGAGCCAGCTTGTTTCCCTGCAGCCCATGGAGGACCATGGTGGAGCAGATATCCATGCAGCATCCCATGAAGGACTCTACACCACATCAGGTGAATGTGCCCTGGAGGAGGTTGCAGCCAGTGGAGAGCTCACACAAGAGGAGATTTTCTGGTAGAAACTATGGCCCATGAAGGACGCGTGCTGGAGCAGTCCATTCCTGAAGGACTGTACCCTATGGAGAGGACCAACTCTGGAGCAGTTCTTGAGGAACTGCAGCCAATGGGAAGAACCCATTCTGGAGCAGTTCATGAAGGACTGTATGCCATGGGAGGGACTCCATGCTGGAGCAGGGGAACAGAGGAGGAAGGACCAGCAGAAAGGAAGCATTATGGATTGACCCCACCCCTATTCCCCATATCCCTGTACCACTCTGGTAGCAGGGAAGGTAGAAGAGTCAGGAATGAAGGAGAGATGTTGAGACAGAGAAGGGTGTAAGGAGGGTTTTTTTCAAATCTCTGTCTTTGTTTCTCATCATCATACTTTATTTTTAATTAGCAATAAATTAAATTAATTTTCCTCAAGTAAAGTCTATTTTGCCCTTGATGGTAGAATTGGTAAGTCATTTTAAGTCGGCTCCCTGTCTTTATCTTGACTCACAAGCTTTTTTATCTTATTCTCTCCCTCTGTCCTGTTGAGAGAGTGGCTGGGTGGGTGTCTGGCAGCCACCCAAAGTCAAACCCACCACAGTAACTCAGTGCATATCCAGTTTGAAAGGCAGTAGCTGTTTGGCCTGTAAGCACAGCCAAAATTTAGGATTAATCACAGACTATACTACCTCATACTCAACAGAGCAGGTAGGGATTATGGGAGGAAAGAACTTGAAAATTTGAAGGAATGTCTTCTGGAAGGAGTTCTGGGGAAGAGAAGCTTGGAGAAATGTAATTCCAGTTTGTAGGAAGCCAAGCTTCATTTCCTTATGGTGCTCCAGGAACAACTTGCTTTTCTTCCCTGAGAGATTATGGAATGAAGTAGAAGTAATAACGATGACTTTTGGGGAGGTTAGCTGTCCAGCAGCAAAACAGAGGTCGCACTGATGAAAAACATCTGAGGAGGCTGGCCCTTCTAGCAGGTTCTTCTGGTCAAATCATACTGCAACTGACTGTCCGTGACCCTGTGGAGTGTCATCGCACCCGCGTGTCTTGATGCACAATCCCCATGTTTGACTTTTTCCCAGGTGTGAGAAGCAGATGCCACTGTGAGCATGCATTAGGGGTCCATGCGAGTGAGTCTTGATCTGAATATATGAGTAGTCTCAACTTGTTCCCTTTCTCAGGGTGTTTCCCCTTCATTCTGCTTAGTTTTCCTGTGCTTAGAGGTCTGTTCCACTCACCTTCGTTGGTGTCATCTGCCTAACTTCTACTGTCTTCTTCCCTTTTTCAGATGTTAAGAAGTTGGAAGGACTAGGACGTCATACTTTCTATTTTACTCAGCACATTGTACCAACATAACACCTGCCTCCTGTTTTCTTTGTTCTCCTTAAGGCATCTTATTAGTGGAGCTGTTGACATTATTAGTGTTTCTTTGCCTCTTAATTGCTTAGAAAATTAGTAATCCTCATTTCATGATTGAAAATTAGTAATCCTCATTTCATGATTGCATTTGACCCTAATGGAGACTGAGGATTATTTCACCTATTTTGTAGTTTTAATACAAGGGAAGAATTTGTATGCCTGTCAAATGGCATAGTAATAGAAGGCTGTTTTGAAGTTGAGCCATTAGATTTAATCAGCTGAAATAATTATATTAGTTCTGCCATAGACTGTATAACCTCAAGTAAACAAATTTGTGTGTCTTGCTAGCTGTTGCTTCTGTCCACTGGATCTTATGTTAAGATTAAATTAAGGTCTTCAAGACAGAGACCCCATCCTGTGACATAAAGAGTGCTGTGGCAACTGTTTAAGAACGATTAGTCAACAAATGTCAGCATCTGAAATAGTCTTTGAGGAGTAATACATCGTACCATGTATTAGGGTATAATCCTGCATGTTGCTGTTGCAGACATAACTTCTGGATATAAAAAAATAGTTCAAATATATTTGTTCATCTGGTAACATGAACAATGTAGATCATCTCTGAGTACAGACAGGAATTCCTGAGTGTCCTTTCTTGACAGACCACAATGGAACAGATTGTTCTTTCCTCTGAGCATTTGCTTGTCATAGTGCTACATTAAAAGTACTGCTATTAACTTCCCTTAGAAGGCTTTACATAGAAAACTCAAAATATGTGTTGTTTAATTGTTTATTTTTACTGTTGTTTATTCACATAACAGGATATGTCTGTCTTGTCTGTCTTCTGTAATTGGTCATTCCTGATGAATAGAAATTGGTTATTGAATGTTTTTGGTGATGTAGACCTATTTGATGTAAGAGTGTGCTAATCTGAAATTTAGTAACTGTTTGTGAGTAAATAAAGAAGTGTTGACATTACATAATTTTAATACTCTAACTAATCCTTGTTCCAGTGCTTACGAACTTTTACGGCAGAGGGACAGTATTTCGTTCCCTGTTGGCACTGCAGAAAACCAGGTGTGATTACTTAGAATCTTTTCCTAACATCAGAAGTTGTAGGTTATGATCCCCTCTCCTAGAAAACCATTTCTACACAAAACATTCACATTTGCTTGTGTAGTAGACATAATGTTTCCCTAAATATTATCCCAAGAAACTTAATTGCATCTCCTGGAAATGTATTAGCTACCTGTAGTGTATTGAGCTGTTGATCAGTGGGATGCAGCATAATGTACTCAAAACATTTTGTCAACTAACAAACATGAAGCTGTTTATCATTTAACTTTGGCAGTATGTGTGACAGAATCTGCTATTCATGCTTTGAATCAATATTTTGTATTTCTTTGGGTTTTTTTCAGATTAATCTTGGAAGCAACCAGTATCTTTTCTCAGTTGTTGTGGATCCCAGAGAAATGCCATGCTTCTGCCTGAGGCATGATGTCGATGCTCTTCTCTGGCAGCCGCACTCTGACCAACCAGAGAACATGTGGGAACACATTGCAACTTTTAACGCTTTAGGTAGGAAATTAACTTGTGTGTCACACTCCTCTATCTGAGATTTTTCTACCTGAATACTCTTAGTAAGGCTTCTGTTGATAGTTCACTTAATTACTTTTGAATTGAAAAGGAGTATAATTTTGTTGATAGCAGCATGGTAGCTTAATTTTATAAATATGATAACATAAGAAATAAAATGTTTTTGCCTTGGGAGGAAAATAAGCCTTTTCAGACTATATAAAGAATGCAAGCACAATATTGCACAGTAAAAAGGAGAGTTCCTTGGGTAAGTGAACCTGAGTTAAAGCCTTAAAAGCACAATCATCAGGGAAAGAGCTGCAGTTCACTGATGCCATGTCTAGGTGCATATATGCTTATGGTAAGATGTTTTAATATGTGACCTTTAGATTTTTCCTATCTTGTTGTCTTGGGTGACAGCTCTGAAGAATTCGACATAATTGTTCACTGTTTATTCTCCTGTAAGAGCTAGGAGCATCAAACGATGCTGGTACATAGTAGGTTGAAAAAAAGGTAAAAGAAATAATACACATATGCACATGTAAGCTATGGAACCCACTGCTGCAAAACTTTATGGACATGGAAAGTTTCCATTAATTTGATTAAAAAAAAAAAAAAAATCACGACAGGAAAAAAACAGTCAGGAAGGTAACTGCCAGGTCTGGCTCAAGAAGCCCCTAACTCTTCTGAAATTATAGACTGCCAGAAAAATATAAAATGTAATTGTGAAGAATTCATAGTTATTGCGGTATTCTTGAAATCAGAACTAAGAATTTGTTTTTAACCACTGTTCAAATCAGAATCCAAAAGCTCAGAAGCTGTAAGTACTTTGAAAAATATGGATGCAAGAATAAGAATTACCATATCAGATCAAATAGGATGGTCCATGTATCCCAGTATTGTACCTATCAAGTAAGAAACAGATAGATTGGTTTTCATGAAAATTGATCTGGTCCAGAATTTACTTCTGCTGTGACAACTATAGTCTTCATGTTCTCTAAGTGTTCTCTAGACTCATTCCTTCAATGATGCCATGAATGTGACAATTTATTCCCTCCCTCCCTCAAACACATTTGTTTGAACACACTACTCTCAGTCTGGGTCCGAAATGAAGGGGAAGATGCTATCTGTTTTATAGAGCTCACATAGGTTACTGCCAACTGTATCCCGGGCTGCATCAAGGGAAGTGTGGCCAGTAAGTTGAGGGAGGTGACTCTCCCCCTCTGCTCTGCTCTCATGAGACCCCACCTGGAGTACTGCATCCAGCTCTGGAGTCCCCAACATAAGAAGGACATGTACGTGATCGAGTGGGTCGAGAGGAAGCCACAGAGATGATTGGGGGGGCTGGATCGAGGGGCTGGAGCTCTCTCCCAGGCTGAGAGTTGAGGTTGTTCAGCCTGGAGAAGAGAAGGCTCCAGGGAGACCTTACAGCAGCCTTCCAGTACTTAAAGAGGGCCTTCAGGAACTGTGGGGAGGGTCTCTTTATCAGGAAATGTAGTGTTAAGATGAGGGGTAATGGTTTTAAACTGACAGAGGGTAGATTTAGATTAAGTACAAGGAAGAAATTATTTCCTGTGAGAGTGGTGAGACACTGGAACAGTTTGCTTAGAGAAGAGGTGGATGCTGCCTCCCTGGATGTGTTCAAGCCCAGGTTGGACAGGGCTTTGAGTGGAAGGTATCTCTGCCCATGGCAGGAGGGTTGGAATGAGATGATCTTGAAGGTCCCTTCCAACCTAAACCATTCTATGATGCTGTAACACATAATTGGTTTTGTTCTGAGTTTTTGCAATTTATTTAGTTTTGTAACATAAATGATTTTTTTTTAATAGCCTGTTATTTTAACTTAAGATCAAATTAAGCTGTAAGCAACTTAACAAATCCTCTAACAAAAGAGATTAATTTTACAATTTGTTCTTTGTTTACTCGTTTCAAATTTCATTATGCTGGGAACAAAGCGGATGATAAGGATTAAGGTGTTTTTTCAAATTACTATTGGTTTCTAGTTTCTATGCGGACTTTGTAGTACTGTTTTAACAATGTGTTTCTATTGTTTTGAAAATAACAGGAACGAAACTATGATATCTCTGAGCTTTTTCTACCTGAGGTGATTAAAAACAGGATTATTCCTCGACTTTTCTCCTTATTGTACTATAATTTTACAGTATTATATTGAAGTTTATACTTCTGTACTAATCTAGTTCACCTCTTATGTGCCAGAGGTGATGTAAGTCATCAGCTTGTTTATCTACAACCAAATTTTGAAGTACTTTGCAAGAGCTAGTAGTAAAAATTAGTACTTTCTAGCTTAAAAGTCTAGTTTTCCAAAACCTAGAGTAGTCATTATATTGACTAAAGCAATGGGAATAACCCTATTTCCTTCTTACTGTGCTTGAACTTTTGAAATTAGTTTTTAATAAGCTATACAAAGATGATGAATGAAAAATTAACATTTTTCAGTTTGAGTCTTAGACTGAAACCTAGGGAAGGAACCAAGGGGAAACTGAAGAGACCCCAGTATTTTGTTCTGTATATTTGTCCTAACAACTTTCTGTTGAAAAAAAGCAATTGGTCTTGAATAGACATTTGATTGCTAACGTCTAATGATTTGCTGCTGGTTGAAGGAGCAGTTGCGTGATCTTGCCCATTCATATCACAGTTTGCTGAAGAATCCTGTATCTTTCACTGACCACTCATTAATCTGCTGTATAAATCCCCTTCTCCTAACAGTGTTGTATCTATAAAGCAGGAAAATAGAGGACAGTGCCATTTTTTAGATTTGTTTTTAAAAAAAATAGCCTACAATTTTATTTCTGGGAAATCCCATTTAAATACAAGGCCCTTGGTTCAAAAGCTTCTTTTAAATGCAAGCTTATACTTAAATCCTTATTTTATTGTTAGTGTCAATGTTTAAATATATGAATTTTAATTTAAAGAACTTGGAAAGTTTTTCTGGGCATCCTAATATTTCCCAGTAGAGCAATCATGTAAATTGATACTGTAGATATCTATTTACTAATTGTTTTGTGGTGAAAACTGTCAAGCTGGATTTGAACAGAAATCATGTTTTGAGGACAGTAGCAAGCATTTATAAATTTAGAAGTCTTAGGGTTAACATTTAAAAAAAATCTCAGAACAACCAAAACACCCTCAAGACATGGAAATGCACTGTTGAAGTGTGATGATACCCTTGTAGGTTAGTCTTGGTGGACACCCATGCACCACACATCTTGCTCTCGTCCAGTTCCCTGGCCCCTGCCCCCAGTGAGAGAACTCGAAGAACAAAAGCAAAAAAGCTGAGGGGTTGGGCTCCTTGGTCCCTTTAGGTCAGCTGTCCTTGTTGTGTCCCCTCCCAACTTCTTGTGCATCCCCAACCGGTGGGGGCCGGCAGAGTTGGAAAAATAGCAAGGTGTGACAATGTGCAAGCACTACTCAGCAATAGCCAAAAAATTGTGTGGTATCAACACTGTTTTAGTCACGAATCAAAGCCTTATGGTCTGCTGTGAAGAAGATTAACTCCATCCCAGCCAGACCTAGTACAAGTACTTTGACTTCTACCCTACGGTAATAAGAGGGAGAGCCAAAAGAAGGAAGCTGGCATGCTCTGCTGTTCTCAGAGGCGCTGTCTTTCAGTGATTATCATTGCCATGGACATTGCCATGAACATTCCATTGTTCAGTGGAAGTGAAGCAAATAACCTTTCAGAAGGATGGTGGATCACTTTGCTGAGATTGTATCTCAAGTCTCTTAGTGTGAAAGGAAATCAGTCTGAAATAAGTCTGTTTACTAATTGAGTTTTGTAATGGAAGAGGACAAGGAAGATTTTTCCTTCTCAGTGAATATTAACAAAGTTTACAGTGTGTTGAAAAGTAACTCATTTTTTTCAGTCAGTTCTAAATGGAAGACGAGTTTTAAGTGTCTGTTCAATACTAGGTAGACTCAGAAATCTCAAATTGTAAATGTAATTACAGATTGGGAGACGAGGGGAGAGAAGAGGGTTATTCTGCTTAGACTACTAATATTGGTCCAAGATGTGTATCTATGCCTTATGATCCTGCTGAGAAAGTGGAAGACCTTGCGAGGCAGAAAGGGGCTAGACATGGGAACATATGCATCAGAAACACCAGTTAGGAAGATGTATGGAAGAATTTTATATTGGTAGTAAATTGGTTAATGCATGCCTCCAAAAACTAATGTCTTATTTAATAACAACATACATCTTTTTCTTCCTTTTTTTTGTTACTAATTGCATATGATTTTTTAAGCTAAGCTTGATTTTGTCTTAGCCAATTAAAGTGCTGTTGATTCCAATATATTACTTATCCCTTCTTCTTTTTGGGCTATGCAGGTTATGTCCAGGCATCAAAGCAAGACAAGAAGTTCATGGCTTGTGCTCCAGATTACTCCTATGCTGCTCTTTGTGAGTGCTTGCGACGAGTTTTCATCTATCGTCAGCCAACTCCCCTGTCCACAGTTCTCTATAACAGGAAGGAAGGAAGACAAGTAGGACAGGTTGCTAAGCAGCTAGTAGCAACCCTGGAAGCCAATGATCCTATCTTAGGCTTTCAAGCTACAACTGAGAGATTATTTGTTCTCACAACAAAAACCTTGTTTTTAATAAAGGTGAACTCTGGAAATTAATTATTCAGTATATTCTGCTGTAGTTTGCGTTAGCATTTTGTTAAAGACCTGGCTAGGTAAATGATCTGAGAAGTTCAGTACAATTTGCTGAAGTTTAAAAGGAGATATTTTACAGGGGAATCAAAACTTTTCATTAGACTTTGTTTGTAAGATAGTGAGAAAGTTTTTCAACTTTGCTGTCACTGAAGTAGACTTCTACAGAGCTATGGGAAAATCTCTTCTGCACTAACAGCTTTCTCAAAGCAATTGTCAGAGGCTGCTATTGCATAGGTGAATAGATTTATGCTTTTTTTTTTTTTTTCCAAATGACTGTTTGCCATACTTCCGAGTTTTGAGAATTCACTTCTGTTTTTAAATGCTGCTGTTCACCTATGAAAGTAGTCAGATAAAGAAAATAAAGCCTTGAGTTACAAGCATATGATGTGCAAAGTAGTGTGTATCATAAAGAAAAAAAAAATCCCGAATTCAAATATTCAAATGATTTAATATTTAAATATCAAGTAGTACTGAGTGAAATGTGAATGGAATGAACAGAGTATTATGTTTCTTATACAGGTAATTAATTCAAGTAAAACAATTCTGTAGTATATGCGGATTTTAGATTACTGATTTGGGACTTACTCATGCTTGCAGTGAAATCTGTTCACATTTTAAGAGACACTAGATAGCTCTTAGTAGCTTTTTCCTGAAGCAAAGTAAGGTTCAATATATAGCTGGTGATTGCATATTGAATGGCATTAGTCAAGGTCTGGTTGCATTCTCATTTGTGTCATTTTCATTACATTGTACTTCATCTCAGGTGACTTAATTTACCATTAGAAAATGGCTCAGAAAAAGCACCTGTATTGTAACCTGAGATGGGAAACTCAGATGTGCTACTTCTGCCTCAGATACCCCTGTAAATACTGTGTTATCAGTCAACCATTCTGTCTGTGATGCACAAGTCCACACGTGGTGTATTTGCAAGATAAGGGTACACAGGCCATGAGGATGCTTCAGTTAAACAAACTGGCATGGTTAATTTTATTGAATAGTTGTATCTGAAGATTTTTGTTTCTTATTTTAAATTGACATTGTCAATACAGTTAAACGAAAAAAGGGTCAGTTGTGACAACTTCACGCTGGCTGGTTTTTTTGTTTCTTAGTTTGCTTACATCACCATAGCAAAGAATGCCTAATGTATTGTATACCTGCAGGAAAGCCACTGCGATCTGTGGTACCAAGCAACTGAGACAGACACGAATACAAGTGGCCTAACAGTTTGCATCTCTTCCTCTGATTCAGACCTTTGTAAGAATCTATTAAGAGGAAAATAAGTGTTCCTTTTTTATGGACTAACACTTATTTGTTGTGATTGTTTTGACCCTTCTGTAAATTCTCCAGATTAGTATCAGTGAAATGATTAAATAATATAGTGAGAATTTAAGAGGGAGACAAGCAGCTGTAGTTTGCAAAAACCCTCAAATGCAGGAGCTTTTCAAGGACTGTGATTTTCCTTCTCCTTACAGCAGTTATTATATTGTATATCCAATACTGAAAAGTTTTTTTTACCTGGGTAAGTTAAAACAGACTTGGTTTATAAACCTTTACTTCTCATTTTGTTTTTTTTTTTTTAAATCTGTCTTGAAAATGCTTTTTAAAAAGGCTCAATGAATGTATTACTGTTTCATGACCGATTTGCATCTAAATTTTCATTGTTGGGCAATAATGTCAAACAAGGTGGTAGAATTCATGCAGAGGTCCTTTAGAAAAGATTTTATGTAGTTGATTACTTTGCAACATAAAGTGCTTTGAGATTTATATGAATATTAAATAGTAACCTGAGATTTAATCATTGGGAACAGAGTTAAGAACACATGAAATTTGAGGAATGGAGGAATTAAGGAGTGAAGGATTCATGGCCGACATGCTTTTGTCACCTCAGGTGTAGTGGGTTAGATATCTGGAAACATACTTCTGCTGTCTCCTGCAACAGAGAAGAGAAAGTCAAGTAAAATGGTTACCTCTTCAGAAGCTGTATGGCAGTATGTAATGACTAAAACTCACGTTCTGCTCAAGTGTGTGTCTGTTTGAAGAGAGTTCTTTGCTCCTGGGAACAACTGGACGTGGGGAAGATGTTCATCTATTTTCCATGTTAATCATCTATTTGCAGTCATGGTGTTCTCAGAAGGGATATGTGGATAGTCTTTATTATTTTGCTTTCTATGAGAGTTAAGGACATTATATTATTTAAATGATTTGTTGCCTTGAGGATCTCTGCGTGCTGTTGCACAGCAAGCTACTATAATTAAATGGCTGCAAGCCACAGGGAGGCATTTCCTATCAGCATTTCCATTTCTGTGTTCACTTAATTTTAAGGCTTATTTGTTCAGTGTATTAGTGTAGGCTTCTACAAAGTATATAATGCGGATATTTAAAAGAGGTGGTTTTCTGAGAACCATACTTCAATTTTTCTAGGATTTTATTTCTTGAAATCTTACATTTTAAGAAACAGTACTTCCTGAGATGTCCCAATTACAATCTATTTACAGAATTTCTGAGAAAATGTTTGGCTGTTACAGACTTGCATTATTTATCTCTAATATTCTTTCTCGGTGTTTTCCTTGGCTGCATATTTGGAATGTATCTTCTACAGGTTTAAATAAATGAAAAAAACAAAACAAAACAAAACATTAGATTTATTAATAAAGGGTTTTTTAAATTATTTTAAAGGATTTCTGTTGATTTCAAATGTGCATCCTTCCTATGCTACTGAAACAAAACAGAAAAGTAGAAAAAAGAAATTCCTTAAAATAAGACTTGTTATGTTAAGGAGCTTTCTATTAGGGCAAGGTTCTGATGGGTGTCTGCACTGCAAGGTCACATCTGTTGCCAAGACATGCACTATTGTACTCCTTGTTCATTACTGTGAAAACCTCTGTAGTCTTTTTCATTTCCCATATCTGGCAACATACACATTTATGGAGGTGGTTACTGGGCAGGGGGGTGATAAGTATTCAGGTTTATTATTGTGTTAAAGTGCACGTTGCATCCTCTCATCTTGTGTCTTTGTTGTGTACAAAACCCAGATGATCTGGACAAACCCTTCCAGATGGAAGGAGGGAGATCTGCACTTCCTTCCTCTTCCCCTGCCTCAACCCAGGGGTGCTTTTTTGCAGGCGGGTGAAGGGAAAGAGGAAGGATTTAGTCTGTATGTATGTCCTCTGTGAAAAAATGGCTCTTCATTAATGAAACATCAAACCCTGCGAGAATAACATATAAGGTTGAAGCTTGTATTTTATTTTGGTTTGCTGTGCTTTGTTTCAATAATGGGCATTATTACCACCATCACTTTTGAAATTCCTTGCCTTCTGCCAATTTATATTTTCTGTTATCATTATGCAGATTAGATGAACTTGAAGCCTGCAGTCAGTCACACATTACTATGTAATAAGAAGTTTTAAAGTTTTGTACTGCCAGTCCTATGTGCCATTTGTAAGAGCTTTCTGGAAATCTGATGAGATTTGTTTCCCCCCCCCTCGCCATGCAATGCATTTGCATTTGTGCTATGGATAAAGATGAGCATGGTCAAAAGACAACTTAGCTGCAGTCTTTCAGGTAGAAGAACCAAGTATCAACCAAGCCTTTGGGTCAAGACTATTGCAATAATTTCAGACTCAAGGTTTAGTACTATTTTGCTTGGAGAATTATTTGCTAGAGTAATTTTTTTTTTTCCCTTAAAAAAGTTTTAAGCTACTTCTGAAAATTTAATTTCTTTTAACAAAAATATTTACTCTGATGTAGTAGCTGGGTAGCAATTAAAATACAATGATAGATATAATTAACAAGTTCAGATGTAGACTTGGAAAATACTTACCATAATCTTTACTAATCTGATGCTCTAGGCAAAATATCCTGTATAAATTTATTCCAGTGTGGCTTTGCAATCTAATTAAATTGGTACTTGCAAGGAATTGTCAAGAAACTCAATTTTAAAAGATTAATAATTTTAGTGTGTCTCTTTTTATTATGATATGATGAATATACATTATCCACTAGTTTTTCTTAATGTATTAGTTGTGTTCTGAATGTACAGGGGTTATGTGTGTATATATATTTGTATTTTCATCTAAATCTATGTATGCATGCACATGAATGTATTCATACTGTCTTAAAGTATTGGGGAAGGTGGAGTGGATTCCAGGGATGAGAATCTTTTAACATTAATGACAGCAACACATAGATTCTTCATTAACCTCTTTGAGAGTCTGTTGTGAAGCCAGCAGTCTGACCTTAAGTATAAATATTTTGCTGTGTGCTAAAACATGGATTTACTCTTGGGAATAAGTTCTTGAATGTGGAGAAATCCTGAGTATTAATTCAAAGGCCCCTTGGAAACTGTATTATGTGTTTGTTTTATGTTTTTTGCTGCTTATGTTTTCCTGTGCATGTTGTTGTCCCACATCAAAATGCAAACGCATGTAAGTCTGATATAAATGTGCTGTAATGTCATGATAACTTATTTAAGTGAAAACATCAGTTATGAATCCTGTAGAGTTTTTCCTCTGCTAAGGATATATGATATCTCAGTATTGCATTAAACCCAAACTTAAACAGCTCAGAGGCCAGGTATTGAGCAGATGCCTCAAGTTGGAAGAAATGATGAAGGGAGTAATAAGCATTTACTTCTATCAAAATAAGTGAGGTTTAGTGGGAAAAGAAATGAGATCCACTGGCTACTAATTTAGTCACTTTATCACTGAAATTGCTGCTGATTGGCGTTTAATGATTTTTCTCTTTGAAGCTGTTCATCCTCCCTGTTCCATGTGTCCCCTCTAATAAATATAGAGTACCTTATGGTAATTTAATGTTGAACAATTTACTGGAATTTCTTAAATAACTGAATTAGATTTGCACATGGGATATCCAAAATGTGGGCATGAAATACAAGATGGATACATCTAGTCATAAAGAGACAGGGAACACTGGCTCTTGATTTGATCAAGAGCTGATGACCATCTAAACAGAAAAAAATTCCTGATACTATGAAAATATTTTCATAAATTGCAGTGTGATTCTAAAAAGAGTGAAAACATTGGAACCTGTGCAAAATAAACTTGCTTAGGCAAGATAAAATGTACAGAGGTTACCCTTTAAAATCTAGAATTATATGCAGTACTCCATTCAAAGCAGTTGAATTGATCAGAAAGAGAACGTGTGTGATCAAGACTTCTCTGTTCCCATTTTATGTGCATTTGGCAAGGTAAGTCATCAGAAGAAGTGCCTGGATGCTGGTGTGATCTGTGTTATTTCTTTTGTGCTGTTTCTTGCCTGAAATAGCTCAGGTGCTTACTGCTGTCTGAAAAATTCACAAGTATAATAACTAACAAGATTTTTAAATAAAAAGCATTGGTTGCTGTTAGCAGTGCAGTTCTAAACCTGTTTGAATCCAGTGTGACATCTGATAAAATCTGCCTTTTCACATGAGACAAGTCCCTAAAACTCAGGCTGCCTTGTTTTTTTGCTGTTTTTTTCTGGGAAGGACATCAATAACCTTTTTCCTCTCTGTTCTTATAATTTTTTTCTTGTGCTTTAAAAAAATATGCAGTATCATAAAAGTTTGAACCCGGTATATCTTAATACCATGGGGACATCAGTGTATCTGTCACTAACTCAGTCTGTGTTTCAGAGAAACATTAGCGTGCAAGTTGTTTGAACTGCTGGCTATTCCATTTGGAAGTGGGGAAAAAATGAAGTCAGCTTATTTTTGCTAGGTTCACTCTGTTTACATGGCTACAGTCTCTGAGCTCCGTGTAACTCAACATACTGGAAGGTCTCAGGTGCCCAAAGGGAGCTGTGAGCTAGTTAGCATAACGTTCCACTGTGTGAACACGGAGCCATAGAATGGTTTGGGGTTGAAAGGGACCTTAAAGACCATCTAGTTCCAAACTCCCTGCAATGGGCAGGGACACCTTCCACTAGACCAGGTTGCTCAAAGCCCCGTCCAACCTGGCCTTGAACATCTAATCTAAGTCTATCCTCTTTCAGTTTAAAACTTCTACCCCTCATCCTATCACTACGCTCCCATGACTGCCCTCTGAAATGCAAAGTTTATGTGTGGTTGGGTTTGAACTATAAAATATATAATGTCAGGCCAAAACTCAGTCTGTCCATCTCTCGTGTCCCTTTTGCAACTGCTTTTGGGTACATGATTCCTCGTGCTTTGTTACGAGCAAACTGCAGCGCTCTGCTGTCCGCAGCCCCAAGCCCCTCAGCTTTGGGATACTGGCTTTGTAATCAGCAGTGAACTGGTACAAAATGGCACAATTCTAGTTTTCCTTCTCATCTACCAGGTCATGCTCAGCTCTGTCTCTGCCATTCAGTTAAAGGAAACTGTTGTGTGCTGGGTTAAAACCACACTCCTCAGCCACTACTTGCTGTAGTCCTCTGCCTTGTGCGGTTTATGGCAAAACAGCCCCCCAGGGCTTCAGGAAATGTGTGTGTGTCTCCAAGCTTGGAACGGCCCAGAGGGGGCTGCTGAATTGGCTGCTGGAGGATTTCCCCATCTACGGGCACAGGTCAACTGGGCATGTTTCCAGGGCCAGAGGGGTGAAGACTAAATTATGCTGAGAAGGGGTTTGAGGACTTGTTAGAAGATGAGTTCAAGCGTAGCATGATAGGTAATGAGCAGGTCTGGTCTTAAGGGCTCCTGGGAGACAGTACATATTTCTGAACCATGTTGCTTTCATGTCCTTTCTGAGTCAGCTTTTCCTGCCCTTTTTTATTTTAATGCAGGAAACTTTTGTGCCTTTAGCTGTGGCATGGGTTAGAGTTTCTGTGCCAATAGCACAGAGCCCAATTCAAAGAAACTCATCAAAAGGCAGGTCAAGGAAGGTGCATTGCTTTTTAAGCTGTGTTGAATTTTTCCCGTTAAAATACTTGAGAGGAAACAGGATACGTGATTGCTGCCAACTGACAAAAACATTCAGAGAATGCTGAGGGTATATTTAAAGTATCATATGTGTTTATACGTATGAGAATGTGCACAGAAGATGAGAAGCAAGCCATATGGCAGTGGGTTACAAATGGATGTACTGCTTTGGGAAATTAATATCTCTAAACATTGATGTATATGAGCCTTTTGGGGTACAGATGTTCACATGCTGGTGCTTCAAAAAAATAGGTGAATCAAACAAACATTTGAAAGATAAAAAAACAAGCCTGCATCCATCTTAAAAATTCAGAGAAGCCCTTAAAAATGACTTTTAAAAAGTCTAGACTTCTACTAAGATTGAAATACAGATAAGATTAAAAGGAGCTTGTTTATTTTTAGATATATTTGTGTTTCCTTGTAGCTAGTTAGAAAGTATCTGATGTTTGCAGTTCTTTGTCTTAGACCCTAAAAGTATTCTGTTAACATCAATATTAACTTTTTTAATCGCTGAAGCAGAGTCATTCAAAGATTCCTTTAGAGCCATCAATCACTCATATGCATGGACTTCAAAATACATGTTTTCTCCCTTCATAAAAGAAATAAAAGTTTTTACATAAGATTCCTTCCTTTCCTCTGTGTCGTGTCTTTCGCAGAAAACCCAAAGTTTTATCAGAAAAGAAACACACTGGAAACTGCACAAAGGTAAGTTCAAAGCAAAGATGTTTGGACCTGTCTCTTCAGGACACAGGGACGTGTCAAAAGATCATTGAGATGGGACTTGAGCATTCTTCTAGCAACATTTTTGTCTTCTTTTTGAGTCAGAAAAAAAATAGGTTGAAAACGCTCTCTGGGGTGGCCCCTTTCCTTGAAATCCTGTGACCAGTTAGCCTCTCCAAACGTGAGGGATGTGGTTGATTTGCTATTGTTCCACTAACGTACTAATATTCTCCCTGGGAGAAAATGCTGAAAGTGTTTGCTACAGCACTGTGGTAGGAGCTGTGTGGCGAATATTCCAGCCATCTCCACAACAGAACATAAATGACCCAGCAAAGCTGCATGGTAGCATCCTGTTTTCGCTTCAACCAAGACTTAGCAAGGCCTGCGTGCCCTAACCCATGATCTGGGCTTCTTAATATTGTGCTTTCTTAGAAAGAAAAGAAACATACATGGTAAACAGTAATAGTGCACCACATTGCATATTTAGATTTACCCTGGAGGAATATTAAAAATCATATATTTGTCTGAGAGAAGTATCACTAAACTTCTAAGAAAATGTAATCGGATTTTAGTTAAATAAAATTAACTGTCAACCAGCAGCATTTTGTCTCTGGTGACCTGAAAAACCAGCTTTAGTAAGTGTATCAGTGAAATGATTTTTTCACAGGTGATGTGGGAGGACCAATGTCAGCCTAGCCCACTGTGCGGACGGGCGCTGCGGAGGCCTGGCCCGGGCCCGGGCGCCGCGGAGGCCTGGCCTGGGCCTGGCCCGGGCCCTCGCAGGACTGGGGCAGGGAGGCAGCCCCAGGGTCTCTCCCAGGGCGGCACCCAGCTGGGAAGCAAACACGGAGCCACCTCCTGCCAAGCAGCTCCCGTGGGGCCTCTGAAAGCAAAACTCAGCCTGCGATTTATCAACTCTTGTCTATATCAGCATCCCTCATCAAGAAAGTAAACCTCAGTGAAGCAGCTGAAAGCGTCCTGTCGGAGCATCCGTGTGTGTCTTTTCTAACAAGGGAATAGCCCTGGTTGCTGTGAATCCATGGCAACATAGCCCTTTGATCCCTCTGCCGAGAAAACTCTGCTTTTGTACACAACAATATGCTGACAGGAAGTTTGTATTTTTAGTTGCTTTAATTTATATAGCTTATATTTTATAACTTATAGCTGATTTAATTTAAAGAGCAGGAGGATTTTAAGATGGGCATCACAACTACTAACCACCTGTCAACTAGGACCTCCCCGGTTAGCCAGGAGTGTTGATAAATGATTAAAAGTGGATTGGTGAGCACTTGCACCAGCTTCCTCAGTACCCTTGGGTGGATCCCATCTGGACCCATAGACTTGTGTGCGTCTCACTGGTGTATCAGGTTGCTAACCATTTCTCCTTGGATTATGGGGGCTTCATTCTGCTCCCCATCCCTGTCTTCCAGCTCAGGGGGTTGAGTACCTGGAGAACAACTGGTGTTGCTATTGAAGACTGAAGCAAAGAAGGCAATAAGTACCTCAGCCTTTTCCTCACCTTTTATCATTTTATTTCTCATCCCATCCAATAAAGGACGGAGATTCTCCTTACCCCTCCTTTTGTTGCTAATGTATTTATAGAGACATCTTTTTTGTCTTTTATGACAGTAACTAGATTAAGTTCTAGTTGGGCTTCAGCCTTTCTAATTTTCTCTCTGCATAACCTCATGACATCCCTGTAGTCCTTCTGAGTTGCCTGCACCTTCTAAAGGTCATAAACTCTTTTTTTTCCCAAGTTCCAGTCAAAGCTCTCTGTTCAGCCAGGCCAGTCTTATTCTCCACCAACTCGTCTTTCGGCACATGGGGATGGCCTGCTCCTGCGCCTTTAAGATGTCCTTGAAGAATGTCCAGCCTTCCTGGACTCCTTTGCCCTCAGGGCTGCCTCCCAAGGGACTCTGTCAACCAGGCTCCTAAACAAGTTGAAGTCTGCCCTCCAGAAGTCCAAGGTAGCAGTTCTGCTGACCGCCCCCCCCCCCCTTTACTTCATTGAGAATCAAAAACTATCATTTCATGATCGTTATGCCTAAGACAGCCTCCAACCATCACACCACCCACAAGTCCTTCTCTGTTTGCAAACAACAGGTCCAACAAGGTGCCTTGCCTAGTTGGCTTACTCACCAGCTGTGTTATGGAATTGTCCATCTGGTTTGAAATCTAGATCAACTCATATGTATTAGTAGAAGTCTTCTGGTTTTGTTAGCTGTTGTTATTGAACACACACTGATTGTATATACTAATTTCCCATAATTTCTCATCCCGCTCTACTCCAGGCCTTGAAAAAAAAGCTTAATTTAGTGGGTAAAGGCTATACACTCATGTACTTCAAGTTCCTAAGTGTCTACAGCTTCAGATAATTGTGAAACTCCTTTTGGCTATATTGGAGTGAATCTCCCTAAATGTCCTTTACACCTCCGATACTCAAGACCAGCATTAGTTTCAAGAACAAGTCCATGTTTACTAAGGTAAATCCTGATAGTTGAGGTATTGTCTAGTACCTCTAGTACCCTATGGACCTGAAAAAGCGTAAGTCATCCATGTGAAGAAGGGGTTCTAGTCTGAACCTATTGTTCCAACCCATTGCTGATGTGATTGCCAATAACCTGTGTTTACAAGCACTTTTTTACACATGTACATTATCTGGCATATTAATTTTTTTTATTCTCTTGGAGAGGGGATACAGGTTGCATTTATCTGCAGATGAAATAGCAGTGCATATCCATCATGACTTCCCTCTCTACTTGTATTCTTTT